CCACAATGATCCGTAGAGTTGCGATTTGGTGTGTACACGATATATCCTTAGGGAATGCTGCCCGTTGGTCACGAAGTTGGGCGTCTACGCAGTCCTTCATCCTGTTTAACAATACCCTGTTGAAGACTTTCCCGGTATTGAGAGAAGGGTGATGCCCCTGTAGTTATCACACTTGCTGAGGTCGCCTTTCTTCGGTATTTTGATCAGAAGTCCTTATTTCCAGTCTGTTGGTACTTGTTCCTCATCCCAAATCTTATTGAAGAGAATGTGGAGTATCCTTGCAGTTGCCGCTACGTCTGCTTTTAGTGCCTCTGTTGGGATGTTGTCCGGTCCTGCTGCTTTGCCACTCTTGATTTGTCTGATGGTCATGCTGATTTCTTCAATTGTTGGTGGGCCAACATTGATTGGGAGGTCCGTGGGTGCTGCTTCGATGTTGGGTGGGTTCAGTGGAGCTGGTCGATTCAAGAGTTCTTTGAAGTGTTCTACCCATCTGTTTTGTTGCTCTTCAGTGTTGGTGATTACCTTGCCTCCCTTGCTTTTCACTGGTCGTTCGGGTTTGCGGCGATTTCCAGAGAGATTCTTTGTCGTGTCATACAATTGTCTCATGTTTCCTTCTCTTGCAGCCTTTTCCGCCGTCGTTGCTAAATCTTCCACATATTTACGTTTGTCTGTTCTGATGCTTCTCTTCACTTGTTTGTTAACTTCTGTGTATTCAGCTTGTGTCTTGGCTTTTTCTGCTCTTGTTCGGCTGGTATTGATCGCTGCCTTCTTGTTTCTTCTTTCTCGAATCTTATCCAGTGTATCAACAGTGATTCATTTTCAAATTGCTTAACTAAAAAAAATCTAAATAGAGTTATAAATCTGGCCATATACCGAAAACCAACGCATTCAAATTGTTATATTGTTTTTTCTTCAGCACATCCAATAAGTGCAAAAATCACTCTGGCCCCAAATCTCTTTAAAAGAGTAAACAAGATCATTACATCTGAAGAGGATAAACAAAAGGAACGAAAGCATGTAATTAACACCTTATAATGCAATAGTTTTCTTATGAAGATTATCAGAAGTGAAATAAGACGAGGCATGTTTCTGCTAAATAATAATAATACGAGTGAAACACCATGGATTGGTACTGTAATATTACCTTGCCACCATGGTACAAATGAAGAATTGTGAAGAGTCTTAAAATAAAACAGAATTAAAGTATATTACAAAACAACGAACGACCTTCGAAATACTTTGGTTCTCTTAAAGGAAAAAATCCCTTTTATGTCAGCTCAGAATTGTGTCTATAAATTAGTTTGTGTAGAATGTGACGCCTTTTGTATAGCAGAGTTATCTCGTGAAATCTTTACTCGACACAAAGAACATCATATGTACACAAAGAAACTATCTAACAATCCCGTAGAACTGGAAAGACTCCAAATTAAATAGGCAATGACAGTTCAACAACTATGAAATAGATATTAAAAATATTAAAATAATGCGTAAAGGTTTTTTCAACTACAAAGAAAGGCGAGTAACTGAAGCCTTTCATATATTGCTTAATCCTACTTCCCTCAATAGAAAAGAAGGCCTCACTGTCCATCCGAATTGGAACATCTATCTGAGCTACCATGTGTGATTCTATTCAGATTTCACACCATTATCGTACTTGCTAATTGTACTCTATCCTTTCTCACTACAAATATCACATTTTTCATCATTTACCATACATACACACAAATATACAAACATGTCTTATATAAGTTACCTTAACCGGAATGAAATGACATTGACTTGGTTAGATCTGTTTTTGATTGATCGCACCTAATATTCTTCTTTTTTCCCTTTGCACTATTTAAATTTGGATTAATTTTGATTTGATTATTTATTCTCTGAAGACATGGCTTCGCTAAGTCACGAAACGTCAGAAAATTTAACATCTCTGCTTATTGGGATATTACAAATATTTTATTGATATTTATTTTTACTGACCACTTTCATAAAGACAACATTAATTCTGTGAATTAATTTCGTTTAATTAGTTGAGAATTCTGTATACGCCGTAGTTAGTATATTCATACAATTTGATCAAGTTGAAAATAGAATTTGTCATTTCTAATAAATGAAATATATTAAAACAACAACCTAACATTCAGTCGTACATTCCATTTTTCATTCCATAGTGTTTTAGGTAGAATTGAGCGTACTACTCATTTCAATAGTATTATCGATCAAAACAAATAGTATGTGCTTATGGTCAATACATCCAAGTTACTGTTTTGAGTATAACGAATGCAGACAGTGATAACGGTGAGGAATTCTGTCAATTCTGAATCACTGAACTAGATTTCAGTTGTTTGATCAAGCATCCGCACCAGGTCACATTTCAGCCTTCTCTTAATAACCAGTTTAGAGATCACACGTTATGAAATTTTTTTTATGCAAGCCAAATATATCATTCCATTCAATCAAAATCTGCTCTCTATTTGATTATTCTGGAGGCGTTTCAATAGAAGAGACTTGTGTACTAGAGTGGTTCAATCCCTCTGTATTAGGATCCTCGAACGCATTCACGTAATAACTCGAACAAATTATTCACAGGCTACAGTGATAATTATTTGATATAATCAAACACTACTTACCTTGGATTATTGGGACGATATCATGCATCAGTTTATAGTTTTCTCTCTGAAGAAAAGTTGATTTAACCAAGCTGTTGTATTGAAGATGATTTAATGTATTGGTAAGAAGTGAATAATTAAAATTTGATGAATAGACACTTTTCAGGCATAGTTTAGGAGCTTTGTACACGCCTACGTAAATTTATTCATTTTAGGACTGATAAAAACAGATAAATGAACACGTTTTTGTTTCATGATCCTACTGAAGCCAAGATAAATATCGCACCTGTTTAATCTATTTTGGTTTATCGGTTGATGTAGCTTCCTGCAAATACGCCATAATAACACATATGTATTTGGTACTGGAATGAAAGAATTACACGTGCGCAGTACAATCACGTTGCCTGGTGTGTGACTACTCATACGTTGATAACATTTAACGTGGAGTTATTGTTGGCAACATGATGTTCATCGATAAGTCTTTTGTGATTAGAATATTTCAAATATGACTGAACAATTTTCCAAGGATTCAGTATTATTTCACTGACCACATAATTTTATCGTGGATATGGGATAAGTAGGTAGGTTGGTTTTTCAAGATACACGATGAATATCTAGCGAAGAAAGACTGGAGGAAATATTGTTCTACAGTCGAACAAATTAGTTGGTTTGGTGTCTTAAAGTTTGCAAATAAAATGAACTTACACAGTTTAATTAATTAGGTTAAATGGTACGGAGTACTAAAAAGTTGATGCATGATGCGAGTTCCATTCAAAGACGATCCATAGTGTTGCGATTCGTTCTTCGCACGACCGATTCATTCGGCATGCGGCCTCTTGATCTTGACGGTGGTTGTGTAATGAATCTTTCATTCGGTTCAGCAACAATCTGTTGAAAACCATTCCTGGTATTGGTAGTGGTGCGATGCCTCTGCAGCTGAGTCCTCACACTTGTTCAGTGCTCGACCTGGTATATCGTCAGAACCCACTGCTCTCCTACTCTTCATTTGCCTGATTGCCATCCTGATTTCATTGAATGTTGGTGAGAGAGAAGTAATCGGATGGTATGCGTGCTATTTCTATATCGATTGTGTATTCATGTGTTCTTCAAAGTGATCTGCATTTCTGTTCCTCTGTTCTTGAACCTCAGTGATTGGTTTTCCTTCTTTCTCGTTTACTGGCATTTCTGGTTTACTTTATTTCCATACTAGTTTGTTCGTTGTGTTATATGGTTGTCTGATATTTCCTTCTGTTTCTTGTTTTTGTACTGTGATTGCTAGGTCTTCCCCATATTTCTACTTGTTAACTCTCATGCTCCTCTTCACTTGTTTGTTTGATTCAGTGTATTCTGCATGGGTCTTGACTTCCTCTGCTGTTGTTCAACTATTGTTAGTTACTATCATTTCGTTCTTCTTTTCTTGAATCTTGACCATGTTTTCCATAGAGCTTCATTCCTTATGATGATGCTTCTGCGGACCAGCAGCTGCTTACACGTTGAAGTTAGTGTTTCTTCAACCTGTTTTCTGTTGTCCCACATTGCATTTTCTTTTTACTTCATTAGTTCCTGAAAGTCTTGAAGCCTGTTTTTGAAAGTTAACCTGAATTCGTTGAGTTTGTCGGCATCTCGAAGGAAGATTGTACTGAACATTTTGTGCTACTGTTTCCTCGATTGTCCAGTGGTTATTTAGCACCGATTTCATCTGGTTAACCATCGGATCTGAAGCTATGTCAACTCCTCTCTTGAGATTCCCATGCTACAAGATTTATTCGTGCTTCTTTGAACAAAACCAGTGCAACTCTCACTCCGTGTGTAAGCATTCTTTTTTTTCATGACCAGAATACAACAACATCCCTCCAAAATCTAACCGTTCCAATCGAGCTTGTGTTGAATGGATTTCATATATTCTGAGCATCTTCATGTTGTGTTTTCTTATTGCTGTAATTATTTGACTGGTCCTCCTAGTCTCCCACATTGTGCGAAAGTTTCATGTATGCATAATAATTGTTGTTCTGATTGTTAGAACGGACATTTGTCACATGACTTCTGAAGAATATCCGCTCTCACCATGAGGTTTCATGATTCTTCTGAATGAAGACCCTTGAACACAGAACGTAGTGTATAAAGTGCTTATTTTTCATTTCAGTTGGGATTTTTTAGGAAGGATTTTTCTGCGGGTTGTTGTTGCTGACCACTTTTGCAACTCTTCTCTACCCGTGGTTGTGACCATCGGTATCCCGAGAACTGTTTGTAGAGCTTTACTTTCAGATAAAAACCGCCTACATAATGAAGAAAACGCAATTACATGTTTCGCGTTTAATAGAGTAATGGTGGGATAACATCTATTTGTAAGTAATATGACGTTAGGAGTTGTTTCAATATGTCACTGGTATTGGCGATTTAATCATTTTTTTTCTTTCTGACCTTGACGTTTGTTGTTAGGTTCTCAATGTATTTAAATGTTAGTGTAGGATTGTGGACAGCCGTCAGAGAAATAAGTAGTTGAGCCTATGTCTTAATACTGGTAAGTGCAATTAGTTTCCATTTTCTGCAGTCCTGGCGAAAGTTAAAACATTTAATATTTGAATGTCAAGTACTACAGCAATACTTTAAAATCATCTTGCATCAAACGAAAATAACTTGTCTTAAATCATTATGAGGTCAAAATAAAATATACAACTCTCGATTACTTAATATCACTATTCATCAATTTTTCTTTCGCTCACATCGTTATTACAAGCTTGTTGTTGGTCGGTTTAAATTATTTTACATTTGTATGTCAGTTCGATCTGTGCATGTTTTTTATCTGGCTATATGTCTCAGGTAGGTAGTTAAACGGAATACAGCTTGAGATTGCTTTTATTTAAAACAGTATGTCAATTCAGTCAGCTTTTGGCATTCCTCAGTACTGAATAAGTGTGTGAAAATTATTACGTGGGTGCATATTTTCATTGTTATGGTATTTCTGTAAGTTCTTTTAATCAACTCTGCATGGTGACAAATTCAGTGTCTTCCACAACTACTCGTTCATCCTTCAAGCCGTATCAAAATTATGTCATCAATTTGTTGCACCTTAACTACTGGTGATAACTAAGACCGATATGATTAATGCGATTAGTCTTAGTTCAAAAGTATGTTAAACACCATAGAATTAGGCTTAATAATAGTTAGTTAGAGACTGCTTAACACTGCTTAAATTCGTCCCATGCATTTACTCTTTTTCTCTTATCGACCTTGAGTCTCAGTATCCTGTCATACTTACGTTTCTAATCTATCTCTTTAAACTATGCCCTCAAGACTAATTCTTGGTTTTCATTATTGCCACAAAGTTTATAGCTCGTGTTATTTTCATCTCGCGTTAATGTGATATAATAACCTGAGTCAACTCACATTTGTCCCAGTTTCTACTTTCAATATAGCTGACTGTACAACTTGACAGTTTATTTTAAACTTTTACCTTTAGTAGAGATCGGGCTTTTGTGATTTCTGGGGTATACCATTTTCAAATAGGATAAAAAATTGCATTAATGGATGCAAACATTTTCATTTAATTTTTCATTCCACTGATGTTCTTGATTGTTTTATGCGCTTTAAGATATTTCCATTACTTTTTCAGATCCTTTCTCACAGCTATTTGCAGCATATATTATTCTGTTTGGGTACCATTCCCAATTCGGATTTTAACCGTTGTTACTAATACGTTTCTGGTTATAAAATGAGTGACGAAGATCAAGTAGTACGACAAAGAACAGTAAGTTCCATCTGGACATGAGTATTAGCGATATATTTACAACTTCGTAAACATATAAACTTACTGTACGATGTACTTTTGCCCATAAAATTTACTAGATTTTATTATTGTCTGTGAAATAGTGCGGGGGATCAAGACTAATGTTCATTACTATTTATGCTATGCATTAAAGTTAATCATCTAGGTAACTTTATGCTAAGTACGTGTTTAGGTCAGACATTTCCTGATATACTCAGGGTTTGGAGGCTATTCTCTTTGGTCTCTGTAACATTACGGAGTTTAGTGTATAAGATTGTTAAATTACTATATTGAATATGGGTTTCTTATTATCCAAACCAATGATGCTCATGAGCTCCAGGTTCTTGAGGGGACGAATGGCGTATGAACCTATTATTAGTCACCGGATACCATCGGACTATCTCCTTATGTTGCTCCTTTGCCTTTTAAATCGGACCGTCAGGCCAAAGGCTCCGGGTGTGGAATCCCAGGAAAACCACCTGTTTCGGTCTGAGCACCCGGGCAGTATTACAGCCCTCACACAAATCAGTGATAATTGCTACTGGCCTCACTTTTATTGTGTGATGCATATCTATTTTGTGCCCCCTTGTACCAATGTTTATGTGTGCAAAAAAATAAACAAAAAAATAAGCCATTTTTGTCCCACATTTTTTAAATCAAGCATAATAAACCATTGTCACTAATTGACTTGGAATATGCCGATGACATAGTTCTATTTGGTGAAGACTGACAAAATGCAGAGTCTTCTGACCACTCTAAGCAACAATGCAAGCATGTTCCGGGATGCGATTCTCCCCCTCGAAATGAAAAATGTTGCTTCAGGATTGGGTTGCATTGACACCCGAACTAATGGTAGGGAGTGAAGTAATTGAGCGTGTCGATCGCTTCACTTATCTTGGAAGTCTCATCAGCCCTTGTGGTCTAGTGTGACGAAATCTCAGCACGGATACAGAAGGCTAGACTAGCTTTTACCAACTTGCGTCATTTATGGCGTAGGCGAGATATCCGTCTATCAACCAAAGGACGTGTTTACTGTGCAGCAGTTCGTTCCGTCCTACTTTATGGCAGTGAAACATGGCTGGTAAGAGTAGAGGATATCCGTAGGCTACTAGTATTCGATCATAGGTGTCTTCGAAACATTGCTCGTATATCATGGGACCATCGAGTAAGTAACACAGTTGTTAGGAAACGTGTACTAGGTAAGGATGGCAAATCCATTGGTGAAGTAGTGAAATTTCATCAGTTGAGATGGCTGGGACACGTGTTACGTATGCCCAATCACCGACTGCCTCGACGTGCTATGTTCAATGATATAGGAGTAGATTGGAAGAAAGCTAGGGGCGGCCAGACCAAAACATGGCACAAGTCCATGAAGTCACTGATAAGTGGACTGAGTCATATTGGTAAGTGTAGACTACCTGGTTGGAGACCGCGAGATGATAGCAACCGATAGTTAGAGACCCTGAATGACATGGCTCAAAATCGTTTGCAATGGCGCAGGTGCATCCACTCTTTGTGTTCTCTCAAATTCTAATCTTCTGAATTCTTCATATCCCTTTCTTTTTTCTCTTTCCAAATTTATTTCACTGGATTATAACACTTTCTGATTACAGCTTATAATTTTACTACATCCAGCACTACGGGATTTGAGTCGACCACTTCATCTCTGTGCTAATGTGGTGTGGCAACTCGAACTGATGTACGTACGTACGAAGTTGTACGTTGTTACTGACTGACTATATGATCATAATTGTACATAAAATCCTGTTCTCAAATTAGTATCGATTGTACTAAGTGTCAAAAATGATTTAGTTTTAATCATTACCTTTTCTCCCACTAGAAATACAGGATACTTTCCATTTTTTCGCTCCGAAGTACCCCTTAGACCAACACAAAATCGTTTCTGATACTTGAAGGCACTTGTGGTCACGTTTAAATGATCCAATATCTACCTATTCTATTATAGGCGTGTGTTTGCAAGTTAACTAGAAATATGAATTCATAGCTGTAGTAAGTAACATTGTCGAAAAAGAAAGTTTCTTCCCTAAATTATCTTAGTTTACTGGAGTTTTTTCTAATGGTCACCGTCATCATATCCAGCGAATGTTTGAGCTGCTTCTGTCATGGGAATTTTCGATAATTCGAATGTCATCTGATTGTGCAAAATAAAAAAACACGGTTTTTTCATTAGGGGTTTGCCTAAAGACAATGTTACTTGCCACATATATCAACCTCTGCACACCATTAATCGTTCACATTGACAATCTAAATGTAACGAATTATTTATAGAGATATTGGCAATATCATCTGGTGTCGTACATCTATCGATTTGTTTTGAAGCCTATTACAAGGTTAACATTATTAGTTCATGGTGAGTATTCCTAAATAATTACATCCCAACTGTTGCTGCAGCCCTGACGTGATGCTTGGGACTGTCTGTCACTATTGCTTAGTCGTGCTGCACTGACTGAAGCACTCGTTTTTCTAGGTCCTACCGTGGCAGTTAGACTGATTGCTGAGCGGTACGACTAAAAGTTTCAAACCTGACTTCCGAGAGCAAAGTTGTACTCCTAACTGTATGGTATTATGGCGGGTGTAAGGTGTCCTGCTTGTGCAACTAGCATTCGCACAGATAATGTCTCTCCACAACCGAAGGTTGGTCTTCAAAATAGCACACCTCATCTTGCCTCGTGGATTTTCGTTGCTAGTAGTAAGTTCTTTAAAGTGCAAAACTAACGTGCCAAGTACTTATGTAAAGGCCGTGTATGACCGATTCCAAGCAGTTTTTCCTTGAGTTCTAATGTTACACTTCCAGATGGTCAGAAAAACACCTGTATCAGTTCCTCTTTTAGGTCCCTCACTTAGTGGCAATCCTTCTCATACTTGTATCTTCTGTATTTTCTTAAATACAATAATTTTGAAGTCACAAGTTACTCAGCCTAAAAGACTGAAACCTAACATCAGACTCTACATTTCGTACTTAGTGATAACTGTCTTCCAAAAATTATTGTCATACAGTAGAATCACCAAGTAAGCAAACTTGAACATGTTTTTGAAGAGATATAAGTACTTTTATAGCAGTATTACTAACCTGGAGCAAATGACTCAATTTAGTCGTTATGTGATTCATTTCCCACCTCACATCTTGCTCTGACTTGTTATGTTGATTTAAATGAAAGTTGTTTGAAAAACGTTTATTAGTGTTTGGAGTAAGAAATCACAACTGTCTGTTAAATTTCTAGCCATTGTTCAGAGCGTATAAGGTTACTATAAGCTTCATACATTAAAGTCTTTGAAATAATAAAGATTTGTAGATGCTTGCATGAAATAGGTTATTAATTAATAATGATATTTTGAATTCGTTCTTTCTTAAATATATTCGAAACGTAACTTCGGTCCATTAAGTCACTGACTGTTGGTCTGAACCTTGTCGATTGATACAAACAAATTGGTTGGGTTCTATATGATATTCGTAATCATTGATTGACATAGCTCGGAATCAGTCACAGTAGCTCACTCATCTTTCTTCAAATCTTGAGTTTCAGTATTTCTTTGTTCATAGCTTTTCATTATGTCTTTTCAAGTTATACTTTTAATGCATAATTATTGTAATTATTTGGATCCTTTCGCAATTCATCTTGTTGACTTTATCTTATCGTTCTATCACGTTGTATGGTAACTTGTATCAACGCACATTTATGATAGGCTCGACATCAGTTATGATAAAACTAACTAACCTTGCTCTTTAGTAAAGTTTTCATTACCTTAACAGTATAGTCTGTAACTGGAAGTAATAATAAAGGGCTGTGATTTAGTCATTTTCTCTGTTTTTTTCCCATTCTTCATCAGGGGGATGTTGTAGAACCAACTACTATTACTGCTTCTTCGACTACTTCTCATACTATCAATATCGATACACAAGATGATGTATTAAACGCTAAGAAACAAACAAGCGATGATGATGACGATGATGAACCAATTGATCCAATTAGACCGGATTTTGAAGCCGCTGAAAAACTACATCAAGGTACAAGTCATGTACCGCCAATAATTGATTTCTTAAATAAATTTCTTCCACCACGTTGGGTTAATTGGACTGTACGATTATTTACAGGCCTACTATTAATTTCAGGATTTACACTTCTTATTTACTTGGGTCCATTGGCATTAGTACTTATGGTAAGTGTTGTATATGATAAGTTATTTATTTATTTTTCTGTTACCACTAAACGATTGACCAGAGTTTGTCAACTTCTTAGCATTAGCAACTAATTACTTATCGTTGATTTTGTCTTAATTAAGTCCATGAGGAAACTATCATTGCAACAAGCGATGGATTTTCTTATCCAAGTAGGTGAATTCCAAATAATATATGTATAAACCAAGTACATGAGTATGAATGTTAATGGTGCTATTTGGTTGCCAAAAGTCAAGTAGATAGAGCAGAGTTTGAGTCCGAAACATAGTGACTGAAAGTCGAACGCCTTAACCATTAAACCAACATTAAACTATTGAAATAAAGCTGGAGGTAGCTAAACCAAAATGTTGTACTAGTCCCTGAATTCACTGGTTAATGAACTGAGCTATGTTAATGGGTGTGTAGACTACCTGGTTAGGGTCTACGTTGATTATCACAACAGATGATCAGAGACTTTAAATGACATGGCTAAACATCGTTCTCAATAGTTAAAATGTATTTACTCTTTATCTTCCCTTAGAACCTCGGTTGCGAAATCTCTTTATATATTTTTATTCTTTCTATACCTAGTCTTTTCTACCAGTGCTGATACTTTTACTATTCCTACTATTCTGGAATTTGTCTTAAAAATAATTTTATGTCGCTGTACTAATGTGGTATGGGAACTTGATCCGATGCACATGTGTCAGGTTGCATTTGATTCACTGACTAATCAATTCTCTTTTTTCGTTTGCCGATTTTAAATGTGTGTACTTGGCTTTGAGCAACATTGTTTGTCTGTTTAAGAACCTACTTACTTACGCCTGTTACTCCCTATGGAGCATAGGCCACTGACCAGCATTCTCCAAATCACTCTCTACTGGGCCTTCTTTTATAGTTCCATCCAATTCTTGTTCATTTTTCTCATGTCTATCTCCAATTCTCGGCATAATGCCTTCTTTGATCTTCCTCTTTTCCCTTGGCCTTGAGGATTCCATGTGAGGGTTTGCCTTGTGACGCAGTTGGGTGCTTTCCTCAATGTGTGTCCTATCCACTTCCAGCGCTTCATTCTGATTTCTTCCTCCGCTGGGATCTGGTTTGTTCTCTCCCACAGTAGGTTGTTGCTGATAGTGTCCGGCTAACTGATCCGAAGTATTTCGCGTAGACAGCTGTTAATATACACTTGTATCTTGTGGATGATGGCTTTCGTAGTTCTCCAACTTTCCACTCTATACAGTGGAACTGTTTCGACATTTGTATTGAAAATCCTGACCTTGGTGTTGGTTGACAGTTGTTTTGAGTTCCAGATGTGCTTCATTTGTAAATATGCTGCTCTTGCTTTGCCTATCCACGCCTTCACATCTACATCAGATCCACCGTGTTCATCAATGATACTGCCCAGATATGTAAAGGTTTTTACACTGTGTAAGAACTAGTAATACTGATAATCGGTTGTCCAAGCCGAAATAGTTGAATTATTATTATTATTATTATTATTATTATTATTATTATTAGCTTTTTTCAACATTATATTTTTAGTACAACATAGAATTCTCAACATAAAGTATTTCATCAAGTTTCCTTTTCTTATACCTTGATCGATTGTGACGATAAATTTTGAATGATGACCAGTTAGATGTTAGGAATTCGGTAATCCACATTTGATTAATGTTCATTCGTTTCAATGCATATTGCCGGCCACCATGATGTCGCTGATTGTACCTTTTTGTATCCCGTATAGCGAAAGGTTGTAAACTTTTCATAAACGCGCTTGAATAGATTGTGTGCACAACAGACATAATGATGTGCTGAAACAAACAACAAAACAGATAACTTGATGAAATATCTAGATCGGAGGAAACAGGTAGCCCAGATATTCAAGCAGGCCGCCTTCAGTTGCCAACCTACTAGTTGGTTGCCAAGTGTTTCAACTGTTAACTTATCAATGCTTAAATAATTGATTAATCCAGATTTATCTTTGGATATGTCTTGTTCTTGAATTCTTAAATATCAGCTTTCTAATTGTCTCCCGGTTCATGAAAGTTTTTCAATCTTGAGTCCAGAAAAAAGCTTAAGACAGGAAGTAAGGAAGAAGATTCACTGTAAAAGGATATATATGGAATCATGTGTAACCTTGAGATCCTGGAAGTTTTTCGAAAACAAGCTGAAATCAGTAACTAATTTGGTAATTGCTTAATCAATGTAAACGGAGTATAATAAATCGTTTTCTAGATTTATCATGTAGTCTTCTAGACAAGATAATTACGTAAAATCTCTTTAATATTTTCTCGGAATTCATTCATCCATACGGGTACAGAGAATTTTGACTCGAGATAAGCTCTACTTTTGTTCGCAATGTTGACTTAGCACCTAGCAACCCCTTCTTCATTTACTTCGTTCAAACCACAAGTACCGAAAATAAAAGAATCCTCAAACCTTCCACTACTCATGGTATTTATTAAGGTTTTATTTATAAAGTCATGAAAAATGTAGCTTTATACGACGAAAATACCACTTCATCATGCTACAGACATGTTAAGTGTAGTATAGTCAGTCATAATAGTAAAAAAATTACAACCAAGTAAAAATCAAACCTCCAAAATATCTACCATTAAGTGAGTAAATAAATAAAAACATGACCGTAATTACTATGATACACCTAAATGACTTGACAATATTTACCCCCAGTCAGAAATTTTTAACATTTTAGCTAATGTCAGTTTGTGATTAAAACTCTAAACCTAACCATAAATAATATGAGGATTCTCAAAACTCTGTTTGGATCCTGATAAAATTTCAAGAAGATAGATAATCTATTCTTACCAGGACAACTTTATATGTCGGTTTTTTGGGAAGAAATTTACAAACTGTTCTGACTTATGGCCGCCCACTAATATCACATGACAAAACCACCAGTCAGAATATCAATTTCTATAACTTCGTATCTGATCTGACCAATGACATGACGACCGTCACTAGTAGCTTTTATTCAGTGCTAAGTCCTTAGTGGCACTTGATCTGGTGGCTACTCTTCCTGATCATTAAGTCCAGATAATAGCACTTAGTCTCCACTAGACGAATATTATATTTCACACATACATAGTTTACACACAAACAGACCTGACCACATCACACCATAAAATGAAAAATGACAATTATACATGGTCAAGACAAAAAGTGGCTGTAAGGGAGACTATGAATAATAAACTAGCTACTAATGAAGAACAGCAGATCATAGAATAGTAGTTAATGGGTTAATCAAAAACTCACGATAAAAGGAATATAAATATATCACAATCTGATTACGTGATAATTATACAATTATATATATAAATTAATTCTGATAGTTACTATTCATTTAGTTTTCGTTGGATATAACAGACATGACTAACCAGTAAATGACTTTATTCAACATAAATTTTGTTGATACTTTTGTTAAATGAGGAGTTTTTTTATTTGAACACATAGATATTGGTACAAGGAGGCACCAGTTACATATGCGCCACACAAATCTTATTTGATTCGTGTGAAGGCAGTGATACTACCCGGGTGCCCAGACCGAAGCAGATGGTTTTCTTAGGGGGCCACACCCGGAGCCTTCGACCTAAAGGTCTGATCCACAAGACAGTGGACCGACGTAAGGAGATGCAGTCCCATGGTAATCGAACACCAGTAATTGATTCATACGCCATTTGTTACCTCAGGATACTGTAGCCTATGTGCACCATTGGTTTGGAATCAGGGATTTCCAATTCCCCTAGGTGGACTCTCCATGTCCACCAACTCAGTTAAAGCGCCGGCCATTCGCTTTTCGTCCTCTCAATTTTGTAAACAACACCCGTGGTGCGAGAAGGCAGTGAGTAGGACTTCCCTGACAGTGGTTGTATGCATGCGGCCATGTGAGGGCATTTCCAGTGGGAGAGCTGACTCTCTTTACTCTGCCGTACCAGGGGAAGGAGGAGTCGCACAATAGGACGAAACGTCCGTCCAGTGCTTCTAGGTTTTCCCTGGTGGTCTAGCTTCAATTGAATCATGATCTCAACTGTTGAAATTACTACAATCTTTACAAAACCCATTCTGATACAAATGATTATTTACCATAACTTAAACTATACACTTGTAGTAGTCCCATTTTTTTTCCTTATCACCGTATCGATTGGTTAAGAATTAATTAAAAATTCGTATCAGTTGTTTTTGTTTTAAAACTCATCCCTTTATTACACACTTGTCTAAACTAGAATTTATTGTTGCTATAATAATAGCAATAAATTTAAACGAGCTTTGTCAAGTATGAATCCACCTTTTTTCGCTTATTAAATTATGAGATAAGTTTGTATTGTATTCAACTTGGATCAATCAAATGGTTGCTTGTGCTTGATCGATTATTTTGTACTTAAATAATTACCCTGCGGATTAGTTGTTACTATGGCTGTATGTATGTGTGTATGTGTATGTTATAGAGAAAGTTTTAACTGATTTGAAATCAAGAAAATTTCAACTGTCAAAAATAATAATTAGATTACTAGTTAATGAATGAACTCAATGATATAATGTGTAGTGTAATCAAATAATAATTACTCACAACACTGTAACATTACTGTAGGCGCTCCCCTCTTCATCCACCCTAAATGAATCGAAATAAAAGATGAGAGACTACTAACCAGATATGTAGTTCTATTTTGTTTTATTTACTAGAATGACTATGAGCACAAAATAAATTTGATGAAATATTATGGATTATTGAAGGAAATCAGTTTTTAGTTCAATTATCCTTCAATCAATCAATTATTATCTTACTGTTAGACTATTTTATCAATGCGGGGAGGGGGCTACATTAATTTTAACATAATAGAATTTTGTGATCTGTTCCCTGTTTGATCTATTCATTTTTAGTTTTTAAACAACTAGGCAGGTCACCATCGATAATGAAATAGGTATAAATAAATAAGAACTATCAGAATGAGGGGGATTTGTGGAGATTTTAGTAATTTTTTTCGATAGTTGAGTTCATGATTCGGTCTAAGCTAGAACACTATTGAAAACCTGGAAGCACTGGATGGCCGTTTCGTCTTAGTATGGGACTCCTCAACAGTGCACACATACGATCATGTATGCGGGACTCGGGCCCAAGGCCTTCAGTCTCGTGCGCGAACGCTTGTTTTCTAGACCACTGAGTCGGCATCCAACGGTGTTAATGTCTAACTTTAATCGATCCATGATCTTACGCAACCCTTCATCCATTGCCTGTTGGATACCAGCCCAGCGGTCTGAAAGTTAAGTGTTTACTTACGAGACCGAAAGACCTAGGTTCGAGTCCTGTGTGCGGGATGATGAATAAAAATCAGTTATATTAAATTCCTCATTTTCACTACAATTAATATTTTACGATAGGGAGTTTTTACGGATTGTTTAAATTGAAAGTAATTTTATTTATGAAATGGATTCAGTTGATATATCATGGAAACAGTCTGCAGTTGCTTTCATCCTAAGTTGAAGCCTCTTCACAAAGTCGATTGTTATACATAACTTCGAAGAACTATTATTATCAATGGTTGAACAACTATCCGGTACTTTTTGATTTTCAATGAGTCTTCCGGTTGTAAACGCTCCATCATACATCCAACGATGGTTCCTACTTTTATGCTATTGGCCAGGCTTGCATATCGTAATCATCCAGTCGAAATATATTGGTTAGAACACTTGTTTCTTTAGGTCCTACCATGCCAGCTATGTCTCTCGTGTTTTAACATTGTTGTATATTTTATTTTCCATGAAAACATCTGTTTCTCTCTGGTATATGCCTAATATTTTCTATTACCATTGGTACACTGTTACTACTATATAAATTACTCTGGTATGTATCGTAATAATTTTATCTCTCTGTGCCGATACAATGTAGCTTTTGAACCTGTGCACAAACGTACCGTTTCTACACTGTTTAGGACCTCCTGAATTCATATCTCAAGAAGCTGTTTATTTATTACTATCTCATTTGTATACAAGTTTATGCTCTTCCCCTCTTCTTCAAAAGTTATCGGATATGATATGAAAAGATAACTTGTGAATATCTCTACTTTTGTAACTTCGATACACACACAAAAATTTCAATAAATAAGACTTTATTAATAGCATCATGTGACGGAGTAATTTATCACAGAAACATTGGCTATAAAATGGTAGATGTATCCATTGTTTATTGTTGTGTCTCTGTCTTCATGTGTTTAGATTTGGTTACATTATCTATTCTAATCAGATTAGAAAGTGATCATTGTTTTCAATGTGGATTTAAATGAAATCAATCTGGATAGGATTATGTAGCAAATCGAGGCAAAATTTCATCCATCCTTTTCAATCTAATTTAGTATTATACAATCAGTAGTGGGCTTTGTTAATCGTAAGTATTGGTGTGGTGGACCCTACTTACAAGATTGCTTCTAAGAAGTATGCAGCGAAGTGTCGCATGGGAGTTACTACAGTTAACTGAAGAAAGGAGTCTCAAGAAGCCTAAAGCCTGCCGAGTTCGGGATACTTTTGAGACTGGAAGAGAAGCTATATAAGGCAGCCTACAGTCAGCTTGTGTTTCGGAACACACATTAGATGCAAATGAAGGATTGAAGACTAAGTGTATATATTTCATAAATAATCTGTGTTCTCTGTAAATTATTACACATACCATCTGAACTTGACTTTACTTACATTACGGTAGTACATAGAGTACACGACAGACATCATTAGATCTTGCTTCAGTGTTTAAGTTCTATGAAATTTCTATCCACTAAAACTAGTAATTTGATATGTTGATTATTTCAATATTGGGAAATTTAAAATTGTTATTCATGATTAATATTATAATAGACATAAGCAGATAAGCTCAAAAGATAATATAAATGCAAACATGGGTTTGCAAATGATAGATGTTACATTTTTATCATAGGAAAAGTATTATTCAGTGATTTAATCAGTTAAAATCAGCTTGGTTTTTCTACATCAAATTTAGTGTTCGCCAATAAAAAAACATTCCATTATGATCTGACTGTAGTTGCTTAGATATCATAATGATCTTGTGAAAGTATATTATCTAGAACTTGTTCTTCTAGGTCTTACCATATTACCCAGGTTGGTTACTGAGCAGTAAACGTACATTTCAAGGTTGATGTCGTAATCCCGGCTGTACAGTGATGCGACAGCAGTAAAGTGTTTCCCTAATACAACCAGCATCAACTCAATAGATTTCTGTCAGTAGTTGTAATGTCTGTAAAGCACAGAACTAACAGATCAAAAACTACTCACATGAGGACCGTTTATGTGTGACTCACCTTAAGCAATTGCTCCTTCAGTTCTATGATCGCACTCCCAGATCCTTGAGACTAACTCCTAACCCTAACCTACTTTATATTTCAAGTCTCTTAAGATGAAATTACATTACGTAGTAAATGTAGCGGGCAAGTAGCAACCATTCCTATACTTCTAACAACACTCGTGACCATCTTGAATGGCTCATTATGATACAACTATTGTTTAGATGTTCAAATTAGTAGTTTCCCGATAAGGTTCAAATCCACAATATTTAGTGTTTGTAAATTAAATATTCCAATTGTTTTGTACAACAAATTTAACAAATTCTGTTATCATACTATACTTAGCTTTAATTTATTTTTCTACATAAATATAGGTTTTAGCTATTCAATTGGCTTGCTTCTATGAAATTATCAATATTGGTTATTTGGTTTATCGATCGCATGATTTACCTTGGTTTCGATTATTATCATGGTATTTTTTGTTTACATCAAATTATTACTTATTTGGTGAAAGTTTAATCGCCCGATTCCGATTACTTTTAGCTAAAGAAGTAAGTTTTCAGGCCATTAATTCGAAAGTACTAGTGATAGCAGTATTATTATGTACGTGTTTACACATTATGACCAGTCAATCTGTAGAATGATTAAGTAAACTGTTCAACTCTCCTACTTTCTATTTGTTTGCTTGTGGAGATTAACTCGTTTTTTATAATTTTCATTACAGATGGACTTGGAGTGTGTAATGTGGTTGATGGTAGTTAGTCAGTAGGAAATCCTACAATGACCTAGATTTTGTACTAGCTAACAATCATTAACAAATCATACTCGCAACTTCTCAGCGAATAATGCTTCTATGCAGGATGGGGACTTGGGTAACCCAGTTTCACAGTGTGAGGCAATACCAATGAGTTATCTGGACCTTAGCTGATTATAAATTATTTAGACCAGTGGTCGAAACGTTATAGGTTAAACACTGGTTTTCCAGATGCAGTTAGTCTTTGATGATTTCACTACCATCTGATTTCACTACACTATTGATACATGTACTTATCAGACAATTGTAACACAACTCTAGACGCTTAACATGAGTTTTCTGTTAGAGAAAAAAAAGTCACACTATTATCCAGCAACTCACTTATTAAATAACAATCTCCACAACCCTATACTGATAATTATCATATACTCACTAGTGACTAGCCTCAAGAGAGAATTCTCGGAGTCCTAATGAACAGACGTGACCAGTGGAGTTAAACAATGTCAGGTATGACGCAGTTACCCACCAAAGACAATGAAAGATGGGCTCACTATATCATGGATTGATTGAAGTTAGGCATTAACACCGTTGAATACCGACTCAGTGGTCTAAAGGTCAATCGTCCATGCACAAAACAGGTCATTTGTTCGATTCTCGCATGCGGGTCGTAAATGCACACTTGCTGAGGAGTCCCATACTAGAACGAAACAGCTGTTCAGTGCTTTGAGGTTGGTCAATGGTAGTTTAAGGTTGATTGGATCATGGTTTCAATGAAACTCAACAATCTACACAACCTTATACTGATAAAAAAAACAAAAAAATGACAAATCATTTGAGATAACACATACACGTGCTTCTGTACGCGTAGATTTTTCTAATAGGAAAAATATATACACACAAGTAGAGACGTACAACCGTTTCCATTTTGTTGGTTATTCTATGTTTCTGTTTTTGTTGTTGATCAAATAGGATTTTCTACAACCATGGATAACTCATCATCAGTTTATTTCATTTTCATTATATTGTGCTGGGATTGTTGCATTTGTTCTGAGTTTAGTTAAAAGGCATTATATTAAACAGTTTACTTTGGTAAGTAAATATTAATCTACTAATGTATCGTTTATTCATTGTATTTATTTATTCATAGACGGTAATTAGTGTGACAGTTGTGCTATATTACTATATTGAAACCTTAAATGGAAATATTAAACCATAGTCTAAAACTGAAATAGCGATTTTCAGTGGTTAACATGTTTGATGTTTAGTTACTAAAACTCAGTTCCGAACCCTGCTTGACCTTTTTCGGTCTCGATAAGTGTATACTAACACTAGCCTTTTACACTTAATATGTAACTAGAAACCAATTACACGAATCTGTATCTAGTAAATGAATTCAAAATCACATACACACATTTTTTCTCTGTGAAACCTTAAGGTAGTAACTTCAAATCTTGGCAGAATGTCGTAAGTGCACGCTGTTGCTAAAGAATTCCAAATAAAAGCAAAACAACTATATCCACCCATTTTTATAATGTTTCCCCTCTCAAGTTTAAATCTTCAGTCGTTATTAAAAAGTCTCCTTCATATATTGTCATTTTCCATTTAAGATAACATGGTCAGTCTGTTTAGTCTCATTTCCTGTTTTTGTTCTCTAGACAATTTTATGGAAGTTTAACATGTCTTATATAGAGGTAGAGTTAATCATAAGGTAACATTGATTATCATGGAAAAAATTTGATATGAGGTTGTGAATTTCATTGGAATTATGAGCCGATCTAATTTAGATCAATCAATATGTAACGAATAATACCAATAAATTAAGCTAATCTCCATAAAACACCTTCAAATAAATGTCTTGATTTCTGTAGAGAAAAAGGACCCCAACGAATTACAAAAATGCAAATGGTATAATTTGATTTTGTCAGTGTCAATCATTATTTTTCTTAAAAGTTGATAGTCTCCTGTAAAACCATATCAATTGTTGTCCTATAATTTCTTAAACTGGAACTGTTTCTCTCTCTCCTTAGAATAAGTAAATAATATGGTTTGAATGTGTTCTTGGTGTTGAGTTATGCTAATTTCTGCAAAAGCTAGTGATGATACCGCATCATGGTTACTTCAACTTAATTAGGAAGAGAAGTAGGGTTACACTTTGTAACTAATTAGGTAGTTCATTTATTGTTGAATATGACTATATTTTTTTGTCAGTATAGGAGGCTTGTGAAGATCGTTGGATATTACTGAGATCACAAATAAACCACAGTTAAGTAACCATTGAAAGGAAGGAAACATTTTACGGATGTTTCGTCCTGGTGTGGGACTCAACAGTGCACATCTATGACCTCACCGAAGAGGATCAGATCCAGATTCTCTAGTTCTCACGGCGATCCCTTAACCTTTGACCCACTGAGTCACCACCCAATGATGTACATTTCTAAATCCAACCAATTCGGGATATTACCCAGTCATCTAATGCTATCGATGAATAACTGCCGCACACTTGATATGGTTGAACTTCTACCGGTTACATCTTCTCATTCGAATTGCGGGAATTACCTCTCGGAATTAGTCTTTAATGAGCATATAATAATTTTCAGTATCAAGAGCATCGGTCTATTGGTACAGTGATGAAACTTTCTGAAAAATCTTTAAATGTTGGGTCCTATTCCCTTTGGTGAGAACATTGATACATACTTCTAAGAGGAAGTTTCATACCAGGATGAAACGGTTGTTCAGTGCTATCTAATTTTTCATAATTGTCTCATGAAGATCAGCTCGTAATCTTAATTTGTTCATTCGTTCTTTGCAAAATTATGCTTTTACTTTGTTTTTGTACGAATTATAGTTTGGATGGACTCATGTTACATTGCTTATTTTCGTTACATCATCTTATTTCTGTATTGAAAATATTTTCAATGGTTTAATTTGGTAAGTTAAAAATAACACGTTGATTTGTTTTTTTTTGTTCGTTGAAAACAAAGTTATGTACCGTTTACTATTAGGTCCAGTCGGAGTTAATTGTTAATGGTTATTAGAACTGTTAAACTCAGGTGGTGTTTCTGTGGGTTTCCCACTATCTCCTTTTATGTTTATACTAAATTGTAGATGATCCACTGGAAAAAAGTTTTATCCTGGCTTTTCAGCGATCGGTCTCACTGATAAGTCTTCTAATTGAACGCTAGATTCGGTTCCTAAGGTCTTCCAGTAACACCCAGTCTAAATCTACTCAGCGACTTGAACATGAGAGAAAAGGAGCGAAATATGAAGGAACCGCTTTACTCCAAAAAGGTTCGTTAATGTACAGAAAATCTAGGGTTTTTATAGTATTTTAGATGGCTTTGTGTTTCCGGAGAATTCTGGAACGCTACTAAACATAGTAGCTGTATGTATAACCATCCAATCAGAAACTCGACATGTGACTTCAGTTTCTAGATGTTTCTGATAAAACTATTGAATACTGATTGGATAAGATGCTTCTCAATGTTTTCAGGGCCTTGTTTGTCTTTTTTCGGGTTTTATGGATCTCCCCAACGCTCACACTACGAGGTTCAGTCATCAGTATACGCAAATAACGTAACCCTACCTGGTAATGACACTGATACAATGCACGTGTCACTTATGCTCAACCTACGTCGGTGAGAAATGTTAGCTAGTGTAAAGATAAGCTGGTAGAAAGGTAGGGGCGGCCAAACCGAAGCATGGGGTCAGTCTACAAAGTTGCTGACCAATGGTCTAAATCATGTTGATAGGTTCGAACTACCATCTGGTTGTAGTCTACGAAATAATTGTAATCAGTGGCTAGAGACATGGGGTGGCATACCTTAGAATTGGCCATGATTGGGCAGATGCTTTCACTCTTTATGTCCCTCTAGATGTTGAGTTTCGAAATTCCTTCATATATACACTTTTACTCTGTCTTTTCCAAGCATTTTCTCAATATCTTCTTGTTCTCATTATCGTTGTTGCTACATCGTTTCGATTATTTGGTTACTCATCTTGCTACTTTGATCCCATCGTTATGATACAATATGACAACTTGGGCTAATACAAATATGTGCCAAGTTATATGTTGATTATTACTGACTGGCTTCGTCCTACTTTTATTATCATTATTTGAACAAATAAATATTGAAGCAAAGAGGATGTAAAATATGTATGCACCGCAAAAATTATGGAATTTGTTTGTGAGGTGCGATACTATCTGAGTGCCCAAACCGAAGCAGGTGGTTTTCTTAGGGAGCCGATCTCCGAGCCTTTGACCTAGAAACCTAGTCTAAAAGACAATGGGGCAACGTTAGAAGATAACGTCTCATGGTAGCCGGTGACCAACCATGTGTTCATACGCCATTTCTCCCCAAATGCCCTGGTACAGCCGAGAGTGGGGAGAGTCCGCTCTCCCTCTAGAAATACTCTCACACGGCCACGCGTATGCAGTCTCTGCCAGGGAAGTCCTACTCATTGTCTTCTCGTGGCGGCGGTGTTGTTTACGAAAATGAAAGGACGAAAAGCGAATGTCCGGTGCTTTAACCGGATCCCAAACCAATGATGCACATGGGCTCCACTATCCTGCGGGATCAAATGGCGTATGCACCAATCGTTGGTCACCGGCTACCATGGGATTGCATTTCCTTACGATGCTCCACTACCTTGTGGTTTAGACCTTTAGGTCAAAGGCTCGGAGTGTGGCCCTCTAAGATAACCACCTGCTTCGGTTTGGGCACCCGTGCAGTATCGCAGCCCTCACACAAAAACATGATAAACTGTCTACTTATGAAAAATATCCCTCTCGCTCCAAATAACAATCAAGTGACTCGCATTATTATTATTATTATTATTATTATTATTATTATTATTATTGTTATTATTATTTACTACGTCATTATTCACCATCTTTTATTCCTACTGTCTATACTTATTTTTTCGACTTATACGGCAGATCGTCTATGGTGGAAATTCGACTGTATCTAAACGTTCTCGAGTCACTGTCTGGTTGAAGATTGTATGTTACCAGTCAGTCAGTAACAACGTAGAACTTTGTACCTACGTACATCGGTTCGAGTTGCCACACCACATAAGCACAGAAATGCAGTGGTCGATTCAAATCCCGTAGTGCTAGATGTAGTAAAATTATAAGCTGTAATCAGAAAAATTAGGGTTTGAAGATGTTATTCAAGGAGTATAATCCAGTGAAATACATTTGGAAAGAGAAAAAAGAAAGGGATATGAAGAATTCAGAAGATTAGAATTTGGGAGAACACAAAGAGTGGATGCACCTGCGCCATTGCAAACGATTTTGAGCCATGTCATTCAGGGTCTCTAACCATCGGTTGCTATCATCTCGCGGTCCCCAACCAGGTAGTCTACACCTACCAATATGACTCAGTCCACTTATCAGTGACTTCATGGACTTGTGCCATGTTTTGGTTTGGCCGCTCCTAGCTTTCTTCCAACCTACTCCTATATCACTGAACATAGCACGTCGAGGCAGTCGGTTGTTGGGCATACGTAACACGTGTCCCAGCCATCTCAACTGATGGCGTTTCACTACGTCATCAATCGATTCGCCATCTTTACCTAGTACCCGTTTCCTAACAACTGCATTACTTACTCGATGGTCCCATGATATACGAGCAATATTTCGAAGACACCTATGATCAAGTACTAGTAACCTACGGATATCCTCTACTCTTACCACCGAATATGAGTACTGAAGCAGGTTTTCTGAAATCACGTGCACCATTCAAACTGGCTGCCTTCAACGTTCGCACACTTACGCAGGTCGGACAACAGATAGGGCTGGCTATGTCTTTGGAAAGTCTTAATATCGACGTCTGTTGTCTATCCGAGACCCGTATTCAAGACTCTGGTGAAGTACTACAAATTCGCTCTTCATCTGTCGCTTCGAAAAGCTTGTTTCACGTGCGCTTATCCGGGGACCCTGTGGCATCTTCATCTGGTCTTGCTGGCGTTGGTGTCGCACTAAGCGCTAGAGCTGAGGGAGCACTAATCGATTGGATCCCCATTAACAGTCGGTTATGTGCTGTTAGATTAGAGAGTTCCGTCAAAATGAGAAGAAATCGGCGTGAGAAACGATGTCTTTTCGTCATCTCCGCCTATGCTCCGACAGATTGCAGCCCGGATGCAATCAAGGATGAGTTTTACCACCAGTATTTTGTTCTTCTGGTTCCTTACAACTCATTGAAGCCCGTCGGTCTACTCCGGGTGACCGTGAGTTTGACCATAAACGAAGGATGTTACGTAAGGAAATCGGGCAAAGCTTGCGTAAGGACCGAGAAGCCTGGTAGTCGAAGCGTGCTAATGAGCTGGAAGCAGCAGCTGCATCTGGTAACTACCGGAAGCTCTTCCAACTCATCCGAGCCACTGGCAGCAAGGAGTCTGGTGTGAGCGAAACAATCTGCGAGGATGATGGGATGCCAATCACTAACATCCATCGACGTCTTGGACGATAGACAGAATCATTCGAAGGGCAGTTCAACTGGCCTGCTGCTCCGGCAACATCGGTCAGACTGTCCTGCCCTCCATGGCCGGTGACGACTGACCCACCAAATGAGGCGGAAATCCACAAGGAACTCCAACTCTTGAAGCGTTACAAATCACCTGACCCAGATGACTTACCCCTGACTCTTTTTTAAAGATGGTGGTGACTTTTTGACTAAGGAATTGACGACGTTGTTTACAAAGGTGTGGGAGCTAGATAGTGTACCAACGTCATGGAATGAGTCGATAGTTGTCCCTATCTTTAAAAAGGGTTCACGTCGTTCCTGTAACAACTATCGGGGGATAAGTGTACTTCCGATTGCGTCCAAGCTATTGGCTTCCGTCATACTTCGTAGGTTGTTCAAAACCCGAGAAAGATTGACTCGCGAGGAGCAGGCTGGGTTTCGTTCTGGTCGAGGATGTATTGATCATATCTTCACCCTTCGCCAAATGTTAGAACACCGCCATACTTATCAAAGGCCAACAATCGTAGTGTTTCTTGACATCAGGGCTGCCTTCGATTCGTTGGACAGGGCTGTTCTCTGGGATTGTCTATTGAAGAAGGGTGTGTCTGAGAAGTTTATTAACATCCTAAAAGCCCTATATGCAAACACCTCAGGCAGAGTGAGGGCATACAAATACCTTTCTTGATTGATCTATTCAAGCAGTGGGATTAGACAGGGTTGCCCAATCTCACCATTCCTCTTCAACTTTGCCATCGACGACATTCTAGAAACAGCTCTGATAGATGTAACTAATGGCGGTGTGTATCTGTTGTCTGGAGAAAGACTTCTTGACCTTGAGTATGCGGACGATATTGTCTTACTGTGCGATAATGCCCAAGGCATGCAATCCGCACTTAATCAGTTGGCAATCAGTGTCCGTAGGTATGGTATGTGCTTTGCACCTTCGAAGTGCAAAGTAACTTCTACAAGACTGGCAGGATCATAATCCTGTACTCACCCTGGATGGTGAGAAGATAGAAGTAGTCGGGAATTTCGTGTATCTGGGTAGCTGCATAAGTGCTGGTGGGGGTGTGAGTGATGAGATCAATGCACGAATAGTGAAAGCCAGAGCGGCTTATGCCAATCTGGGCCACCTTTGGCGCCTTCGTGATGTTAGTCTAGCTGTTAAAGGTCGGATATACAACGCGTCGGTGATAGCAGTTTTTCTCTATGCTTGTGAAACCTGGCCTCTCCGAGTTGAGGACGTTAGACGACTTTCTGTGTTCGATCATCGCTGTCTCCGAAGGATTGCTGACATCCAGTGGCAAAATCATGTCAGTAATGATAGTTCAATTGGTGTCACCATCTTGAAACACCGACTTCGGTGTCTTGGACATGTTCTCCGAATGTCGTCCCAGAGAACTCCACGTCGTACACTATTTGCCGACTCTGGGACTGGTTGGAAGAAGCGGAGAGGCGGTCAGTGCATGACATGGTGTCGTGGCATGAAAGAAAGCTGCAAAGTACTGGCTTCTGTTGGTCCTTCACCACTCCCTGGTTGGGGTCCGAGAGATGGTGCTACACAGTGGCTAGAGACGTTATCAGATATGGCTCAGAATAGAAGCCAGTGGCGATCCTGCTGTAACCTTCTTTTAATTTCTTCGTAAAAAGTGGTTGTATCTTCCTTAACTAAAGGAATCTCCTCATTGTACCTTTCCGTTCCCTTATTATTACCACTATTATTATTACACTACCTTACACCAATCTCTTCCTTATTGTTCCCTTTTTATTTTACGCTCCTTACCTTTTTTTCTTTTCTTTTCTCTTTAAATTCTCATTGTTTTGTGTGGCGCATATATGTTTGGCGCACTCTTGTACCAATATTTATGTGTTGAAATAAAATAAAATAAATAATAATAGAATAATCAGAATCCTGTAGGTCATGTAGACTATTGGTTCGGAACCAGAGTTTTTCAACTTTCCTTGTTGAATCATCCATAACCGTTAACTCGGTCACAGTGTCGGACATTTTTCCATTTTCTTAGTTTCGAACACAACACTAGTGCCATGGAAAGGCAACCCGTATATACTTTAGGGAATCCTTAGCAGTGAAGTACGAGAGTTAGTCCATACCATTGTGATCACTTAGAATTAAATGGGAAAATTGTAATTTTTAAAGTCAAGTGTGATTCGATTGTTAGTTAGTGGATGCCAGTTGCACATTATGTCACAATCTGATTGAAATTGAGTTACCATTCGATTCCGACTTGATGGTTTAGAGGAATTACGTTTGCGTTTGGATCCTAATGGTTCTGTATCTAATTCTATATAGAGTGTAGTGTGTGTACACATAAATTTTCCCTCCACTGGAGTACTCATTTTATTTTTTGAATCATTATTTCAGTAGTACCAAGTTTGTTTTTTCTTAGATATGTATCGAAAAGCTTAAAAGAAGCTTTTTAATTAACCAGCTAGTCAAGAGTCGTCAGTTTTCTCTATGGTACTGGTGTATTAGGATTCGAGTCTGTGATTTAATTGTAGAAATTAGAATACTTTCTCATTTGAAATACCACTGCCTAAATCGAAGTAGTTGGGAGCACACTCCGAATACCTTGATGTGGTAGTTAAAATCTGAACATCTGATAATTAAGCTGGAATCGTTTTCATTGTAACATCATGGTCAAAGATTTTTCAACTAATCTATTTTAACTGTAAAGTTCAAAGTGTATCTCAATATTAATTAATAATCGCAAGCCAATCGATAGAATTCGACCAAAACTAAAGAACTTTACAGCCTGGTAGTTGGAGGTGGTCGACAAGAAATCTTATACCCTAGATCTTGTACTATTTGACATTCGTTAACATAGCTTGGCTGAAATGTTGAGCCAACTAATACTTTCTATAAGATCCAAATCTTCTTCATTTAGCTTCACTATTTGAAACATTAACACTCAGCTATCCGACCAGTAATTGAATTCCAATAGGACTGATATACAGTCAAAATTATTTGATCACTGAGTTATAATTAACGATGATCAATTGACTTTTGAGGATTGTTTCCCCAACTGATAGCAATGATAACATTATTATCTAAAGGTATTTTTAATGGGAAGAATACTATTGAGAGTTGTATTTTTAAATTCAGTTGATATGCTTTTACTGGATGATCATATGACATGGAACTGTCAAGAGTTCATCGTTGTTATTTTTTGATGTTGATTATTTACTGATGATAAGAATAATAAAAATAAAAGTCATTTAATATTTATTTATAACTTTCATTAAAAAAGTAAGTAAACACATGGTGGAAAGCGAAACGAAGCGTATTTAACCGCTGCACTAGTCTCGGGTTCGATTTCCGCATGAGTTGTCGTGGATACGCGTTGTTGAGGAGTTCATTGCTGGGACATGATGAAGTTTACCTAAGTGTTGTTTGTTTGTTTATTTATTTAGTAGTTCGTAATAATTCAAACTTGTAATTTTGCTAATTAAAAACCAAATGTTTAAGCTGTTGATTAACGATAGTTTATTATGGAAGTCTGATGACCAACGTACTTTCTGGTGTTGGTCGTCGATAAATTGAGGTAATACTACAACAGTCAGTCGTTAGTCATAAATATCATAGAACCTGGGACATGTTTTGCACTGATGCAAGTTGTCACATCACGTCAGCACAAAATTGAAATTATCAAGGTAAATAAATACCCGAGTAGTAGAAGTACTAACGTTAGTATAAGTACTAGTAAAGAAAATAATGGGTAAAGAAGATGATTCGAGAAGGAAAAGTGAGTTCTTGAGACAAAAAAAATTATAAAGTAATTTTATAATTGAAATTTCTAGGAGAATACAAAGAGTGGATACATCTACTTTCATTCCAATCGATTATAATACATGCACTGAACATCTCTATCCATTGGTAGTTTGCATTTATCAACATGGCTCAAACCAACAGTCAATAATTTCATGAACTAATGCCATGTTTTGGTTTAGCTACTCCTAGTTCTCTTCCAATCTACCCATACTCCGGTCAACGTTGGATGTTGAGATAACCAGGAGTTAGAAATACATACTATATGTCTCAACCACCTTAGCTGGTTTATTGTCTTTACGTTGTATTTTATATCTAATCCCAGCATTGTTCACTGACCTCTGTTGCAAGATTGATTGATTCACTCTGACTGATCATTGTTCAGAAATATGATATCGATAGAATTTAATCAACATTAAAGATTCGAACTACATGACACTGGTTATTGCTACTCAGTGAACAATTTAAGCTTAGTGATAAGTATGACCTTTAATAATCCCCCAAAATGACCTTTAGAGTGTTAAACCAATTTTTGGCCATTCAGAATTCAATTTAATATAAATGAATGGTTAGTTACACTACTTACTTACGCCTTTTACTCCTCTTGGAGGAGCATAGGCCACCCACCAGCACTTTCCATCCTTTCAGCTCTTTCCAGTTGTTATTCATCCTTTTCATATCTGCTTCGATTTCCCGACGTAATGTGTGCTTTGACCTTCCTCTTTTCCATTTCCCTTCAGGATTCCAAGTTTGAGCTTGTCTCGTGATAAAGTTTGGTGATTTCCATAATGTATGTCGTATCCATTTCCATCATCTTTTCCTAATTTCCTCTTCAGCTGGAAGCTGGTTTGTTCTCTCCCAGAGAAGGCTGTTGCTGATGGTATCCGGTCAATGAATGTTGAGTAACTATTTATAATTACTTGTACCTTCTTGATGATGGTTGTAATAGTTCCCCAAGATTCAGCTCTGCCTGTAGCTCTTCCAGAGTTACTGCCAGTCCCCAGCCTGGGTAAAGGAGGAGGGTTGGAATGAGGTTAGCGACCCCATTCCCTAGAAAACTAACTCGCTAGAAAAAACGCTAACTACATAAATTACATAAAACTTTCGAAAAGTGTTTAAATGAAGATTAAGAGTTAAACTTAGGAATTATAGTTAAAATTTGAAATAGGATTTTAAGAGTTGAAAAAAATATTTTTCTTAGCTTATTCACTTAGCTACAAGCTGTTTATCATTGTCTTTTTTATTAAAAAAATTCCTCTTAAAACTCTAGTTACTTCTATATTAAATCAAATTATAAGTAGAGATGAATAGTGGCTAATAGTGGAATCCATAACATACATTTTGTCCCATCTGGCATTTGTCAGCTTCAACATAACCAATACAAAAAATGAATTAAAACAGATTAGTTTCATCAAGTAATGGATAGTTTTATCCTTCATCCTTCTATACACTTATTCTTTTCTTCATATATCTATCTTACAGGTTTCTTTTACCAGTTTGTCTAGTTATATGCAATGATATTATGGCATATGTATTTGGATTTTTCTATGGGAAAACACCACTTATTAAATTGTCACCGAAAAAAACATGGGAAGGTTTTATTGGCGGTGGTTTATCCACTATACTATTTAGTATATTACTATCTTATATTTTATTAAAATATGATTATTTCGTATGTCCAATTGAATGGGATGATACAAAAGGTTCTTTAACAATGAATTGTACTAGAAATCCTGTATTTATAGCACAGATCTATGATTTACCGAAGTATTTAGTAAGTTTCCTTTTTATATTAATTATCATTCATTTATGACGTTCCAATATTTTGTTAGCTATGAGGAATTTTATTCATCAGTTGTTAGTGAGGTGTACTATTTTCAAGTCGGGTATTTCTAATCTCCCTCCAACGTTGCGGAAAAGGCAGCATCGCCGCAGATGCTAGTTGTATATAGAAAAACATCTTACTACTTTCCCATCGGGTTATGAGCTTGTTATTTTTCGTTTTACTTTTAACAAACCTGGATGGTATGGTAAGACCTAATGAAATGAATGCTCCAGCCAGTATAGATTTTTGCAGACCGTTGTTGGATTCCAAAATAATCACATGATAGTGATTCTTGTGAAATATATATCCTACTTACATTGTATATGTTCTGTTTACATATCCCTCTAATGACAACGGGATATAAAAAATTGAATACGATTGTTTCGAAAGTTTATACTTCATAGATTCATTTTGAAAGATGAATAAAGAGATAAGAGATAAAGAAATAAAATATGTCAACTCGATTTCATCAAGCATGATCCACTACTTATAGTTCGACAGAAAATAGAACTAAAGACATGTGATGAAGAAAGAATGTGATAAATGCGCATACACATGTGCTCTTATAAAAACGGTTATGAGTGAATAATTGGCAAGGTCAAAATATATATAGATAATGGGTTAAAAAGAACAGGTTAATTGTTCTGTCCAAAAGCCAGAATGACCAATATCGGTATGACATAATACTAGACGCTACCAGCTCAACTCAGTTTTCGTGATATACAAATCCAACTATTGTGTCATGATTACGACTACTATCAAGGTTTATCTTTTTTTTTCAAATTTCCCCACTAATGGTTAGTTTTGAAATGATGTGCTAACAAGAAATATTAACTACCAAATTTCAACCGTATCTATTTTAGTCAAACACATGGTTCCGATGATATTCAATAATAATGGTTACACTAAATTGTGTTGTTTGAAGTTGGAAGTGTCGATCTCTTGTGGATTTCGATTCAATATAAGTCGTAGTAGTGTGATGTGTGCTACTGATGTCGACAGATATAAGTAGTATGTATCACCAATCTAAATTGAAATGCCTGACGGCAGAAGACTAAGAAGATCTAAGAGAAGAGAACGAGAACAGATAATGATTGCTGTGGAAACGAAAGAACAGTGAAGTCTGAGACAATTGATTAACATTTTGCAAATGAAGTTTTTACTGTATGGTTCTCAGATTTTACTAAGTTGTTCTGTAATTTTGTATTCAAATATATTTGATTGTCCCATCTGTGTTCTCGTTCACTACAGTAGCAGTCATCTAATAGTTACTGGCTTCCCGGGAAACCTGAACATTTTGGATTGAACTCCATGTGACCAACTGTGCATATATCACACTTTTGAAATGTCTCATATATATGAAGGCATAACATTTGCTCTATTTGTATACAAATTGAAATGATTTCTTGTTGATATATTTTTTTAAATATTTCACTCGGATGGTTTTTAGTACTGTGTTTTTTCTGATTTTCTTTCCCTCCCGCCTGCATATATATCTATATCTGTATATGTATAGTTCTTTCTTCCAATACGTCAAATCACTTGGTATCCATTCTTACAGCATTGTTTAATTATCAGTATATATACATCAGTTGTTGGACCATTTGGTGGATTCTTCGCTAGCGGTTTTAAGAGAGCATTTAAAATTAAAGATTTTGGTGATTTTTTCCCTGGACACGGTGGTGTAGTTGATCGTTTTGATTGTCAATTAATAATTGGAACATTTGTATTATTTTATTATAATTCATTTGTTCGGTAAGTTGTTCAATGTTTCTGTGCATCGGTGTGCGTATGTACACACACTCTTCTTGTCTCTATGGTTTATATTCAAATGATAGGACAACATTTTCTTCACTAATCATTATCATCATCATATTTGTGTGTGCTGACTGGGATACTACAAAAATACTCAGGACAAACTAGGTGGTTTGTTTTAGGATCTAATCCACGAAGTAGCAGAATAATGTCAGTGAAATTTAGTTGCATGGTAGCCAGCAACTAAAATATGTTTGTAGATCATTTGTTTCTTAACAATCCTTGATCCCAATATTACACTATTTAGTTTGAATTCAGAATTTTATAACTACCCTGGATAGCGTTTACTTCGTATCCACTACAAAAGAGCATTTTGAGTAGAAAAGTGGACATTTTCCACAATCGGTCACACAAGATTACTTATGGGGCAAGTAACTGATTATTTTTTGTGGGTATATTGTCCAGTAATAACGTCGAGATTGCATAATTCATCTAATAGTTAGGAATTGTCAACTGGATTCCCACTGTTGATGTTTTCATTGGAACTAGAGTTTAAAACAGGTCATTATAAATAAACACCAATACTTTTCTAAAATAAATGTAATCTACTTGTAGCCATATATCATACAGAGTACATCCATTCAAGGGAACTCTTATTGGAGACTAATTAAAATACAATATTAAAAATTATAAACCGACAACGGCGTGGCTATAATTTATGGACGAACCAATCAGATATAAGATAACGAGTTTTGGATTTTGGCGCGAAATTTATCCATTCATTTGGCAAAATATGATTTTGACATTATAACCGATGTTAGTTCATGATGAAAACCCTAAATCTAATTTCTAACCCTAATCATCAACTGTATATCATACTTCCAATTCCTCACACTGGTTTATAACCCTCATTTAGTCCCAGTTATGAGGTGAACACTCTCAAGGTCACTTGCTTCAATGTCACTGAAATATTGTCCATAAATTATTGTCTCACCCCGACAACAACGAGAAAAAAAAAACTTTTTTTAACCGTTGTATGTTATTTTTTTTAATTTTTAACACGAAAAATATCAGATTTTTATTATTTTTAATTAATGTACTTTTATACATGGCGATTGTAATTTATATGAGCACATGTATATGTATGTAGTTGGGTACCATATATTGAATTGGTTTCTATATGACCTGCTAATTCATTTAATAATTGAAATTAATCTGTTATAATGTTGTTGTACAGTATAGTTTCTCAGAATTCGGTAATGATTTAATATGTAATCAGTGTATAAGTGGATTTAATTGACTAATTAAAGGGAAAGATCCAAAGTGAGGAAGAAAATTTATTGACTAAGTGATTCAGGATATATATGTTTTCATTCATAGATAAGTAATTTTTTTACTAGTTAGAGACAGTTCAGTATTTTAATTGACTTTTATCTGACTCCATTTAGATGGGACGACGTAGGGCTCATCAGTTTAGTGGCCTTTTATTTGACTCCAATTGGATCGTACGAATGATTACTATCGAAATATACACCATTAACCCTCGTATATTATTATCGACTTAACTTGCGTTAGTGAATAATGGCTCATATACTTTCTCCTATTCGTTTCGTTTTGCTCTCTCTTCTTCGCATTCTCCGTTTTGTTTTTGTGATCGACTGTTCAGAGCGACGATTGTGTGAAATATACATATTCGAAATTCACTCTCGTATTTAACTTATTTAATTCCGTTATTCACTGACGCGAGTTAAGTTGATGATAATATACGAGGGTTGATGGTATGCATATTTCGATATTAATCATTTGTACGTTCCAATTGGAATCAGATAAAGGGTCATGCTAAAGTAATTATCTGTAATTTTGCAGGAACTAGTGGGTCCCTAGAAGATTTAAATAAGTTATACAAATTGAGCAGTTGATTGGTTGGAAAAACAGAAGCACTGTTTGGAATTAAAATGAATGTATACTAACTAGATGGTGAAATACTCGAAATATATACGAACTTGTTGTGACTTGTGGACTGCAGATTCGAGCGCAGCGAATTGCCAATCGGACCAAAGACGCATAAACACGTAAGGACGGCCTAGAGTTCTGATTGGTCCCGCTTGCCTGTCTAGCCCAGCCAGTTCAGTTCAGAACTCAAGTCTCAGCCTCTGAGATATGAATCGTTATATTTCAATCAACCCGACCACAACGTACCAATAAAATAGAAAATAACATTTGTACAATAATTAGCAAGATGTGGCTGTGAATGAGGAAGGTAGCGATTAACGGACAGGGAATAATTCATGAATGGTAAATCGTATAATAATAGTTCATAGGTCAAAATAAAACTCATAATAAGAGGAACATGAAAATGAACAGTTTAGTTACATAACAATTATACGATAGAAATATACTCATAATATTGGTCCATAAATGGATCCCAAAAATTACCATTCATTATTCTTATCGGGATACAACAGAACTATTCTGTCAACTATATTCAAATGCTCCACATAGAAAAGTGAAGTGTATATAATGATTAGGGAACCACGAAAATACGTATATAGACCACTGATTTCACTTATAATTTTCATTCAGTTTATGATAATCTATTCAATATGTGTATGGAACAGTGACTTACTCGTTAAGGCATTCCTTTTTCATCTAATAGTTCGTAGGTTCATACTCAGCTTCATTCAATTTAGTGTGTTCATAATATCGCTGGCGTGGTTAATCTCAAATTGATCAATAAATTAAATGGCGTTGGAAATAGTCTGTAGGTAACCAACTATTAGAAATCATACCGAAACTTAATGGGTCAGACAATCGTTGCTTGTTTACTTGATCATCACGAATCTACATAATTTCATTATTCACTAAAAATGCGATCGATCATGGGACATATATTAGATCAATCAAAATTCAGTGAAATTATGAAGTGACCAGGGAATGACTTTCATTTCAGAAGACTGAGACATATACCATTAGTGGCTTAACTTTGAGATAATAGAGAATATTTGTAGCCGAGGATGGGGACATTGAAGATGTTATGTGTTTTCTGAGCTAGATAGATTGTTTAGTTGTAAAGATTTCATTGTCCTTTGGGGCAACATCATCATAAAGAAAGAGAATGAATGATTCACAACTAAAGTCGTCCATCCTAGAAAACACTATCTCGTATATATATCACATATGTAATGGGATTCAGATTTATTCTGCATAAATTATTAACCTTAATCCTCTTCGTTTTTCTTATCGTTCACGGTTTTTCTTTTTTTTGTCTCAGAACTTATAGTCCTGTTTCTCTATTACCAAAAATCTACATTTTACCACCAAATGCACAAATTCTATTTTATCGTCTACTTACGGATGGTCTTTATAAACGTGGTCTACTTCCTAATCAATTAGTAGATGCAGTCAATGAATATTTACCATCTCCATCAGGATCAAGTTCAACAACAATACGACCAACTAGTTCATCATCGCCATCGTTGAATAATGTTGAAGTGTAGAAAGTATTTGAAAAAAAGACCAACCAATGAGAATATAAGCCAACAAGTAATAGTGTTACAAACACACACATACACACACAACATACCTACATGCTTCTGTATGTTTGATCGTGTGTGTATGTATTTGTATTTTATTAACACATACACACACACACTAGAGCTACAGACATTCATGTGCGTTTAACTTATTTTTCATACAGAAAGATGAAATATAAAATTACTTCAATAAAAATACTTCTACTAGTGTGCTTGGTGATTGTTCAAGTTTGAATTTTACAATGAGATTCCGATTAAAAATGTGTTGTTGTTCTCCCCCCTCCCTCTCACTTTTATCATTATTATTATTATTCCCATTACTTAATTGCTAACATGCTTTTATTTTATACTTGCCCCTCGCATAGACAAGTGTATTGTAGATCATTAACATAATGAGATATGCACTCACATATATACATATATATATAAACTGCATACAGACACACACACACAGTCACGCATTATGAGGTGTACGACTAACGTTAATAACTAGTCCACTTCACATTGAAATTTGTTTTCAACTTTTAAATTAATTAGTAAATATTTGTTGTACTACTTACTAATTTGTACTACTTATATATAAGTAGTATGTGTTGCTAGCTGAATTGAACTGAAAGAAATCATTAAATACAAGCAGAAATTTAAAATGTGAATCATGAAAGTGTCAATACAATTGTGTTTTAACAGAATATGTAGAATTTGTTTCTTGTTTATTTTTATTGTAGAAAATAAAAGAATATATACTGATTTACTACTCTATTCAACCCAGTCAATGTAGTACTGTTTTAATTGATCATCATCATCATCGTCATCATTTATTTTGTATTGTTCACTTATGTGGTGCATTTCCCTCTCTCCCTCCCTCTCTCTCTCTCTCTACGTGTAACCGGCTTGTATCTGTTTACATAACCTCATCATCATTATTATTGTCATTGTCAGTGTTGTTATCTGTTTTACACCCGTATATACTACTTACTATACACTCATTAACATACATTTTCTTATCAATAAGAGAATAAAAGTATCAAACATTAATAGGGGCGGGGAGACTGTTGCTATTTCTATTTAATTAGAGTTATGAATAATACTGTTATGTCATTCAATGATATATTCATTCTGTGATTTCTTCATTTAATATCTATGTGATACATATTGATGGAGTGTATCAATTTGACAGTGTGCATATATGTATGTATATATATATATATATATATATATATATATATATATATATATATATATATATATATATATATATATATATATATATATATATATATATATATATATATATATATATGGATATACATTCATATTTTCATAGATGCTTACAGAAATATTGTGTTTTCTTTTTCTTTTAATTTTTACATCGTATCCTGTGTCACTTTGATACAGATGCATTTAATAAAAGTAATGATCTTTACACATATATACACTTCCACTTAATCAGTATTGACACTTTGTTGTCTATATATAGTTTAATGATGGATTATGTTAATTCAATTGTTGATAGTCTTATTATGTTTCCTGATTGGAAAGGCTGTATGGTCATTTTTGTTTCGTCCATCAAATCATTCCATCTAGGTTAATGTGAAAGTGATATGATAGGGGCTAAAATTGTTGTTCCTTGAGTATTATGATCATTTGCTCTGTTTTCTCTTTAAATGACTTAAAAAGAATTCATGTTCCATGATATGAGTAACCAAGACGTGATAACAAATGTTTCCATACATCTAATAGTATTGGAGGTTATCTAGTTCATAACTAACTAATAAATTGTGGGTTACTTCTTATGCTCAAAGTTCAAATAAAATTTATTGTGCTTATCTCAATTTATATACAAATCAGTAGTCGTTAGATATTTCAATCAAATTCAGTTTAGGACGGCGTATATGTGAATGTAGTCTGATTTAGTAATTTCATTCAGTAATGAATATTTTGTCGCCTTATGGATAAATGTAAATAGTTTCCGAGGGAATTGAAGGTACTTTTAAATTGACAGCACACATTTTGATCTAGAAATTCATTTCTTATTGCATGATATTTCTCACAGTATTCGTTGTTATATTTTTTTGTTAACTGAGATATTACTTAAATGCTCAAATCGGAATCGGTGATCTTAAGGAATCAATTCCTGAGCCATTGGTCTAAGAGACTAACCCACATGGAAGTGATGTGATGCGAGACAACACAATCCTATAGCTAGCAGTTTCTTTTTCCCAGGATCTTTCAACTTAATTATACCATTGATTTGATATTAGGATTTTTCAACTCTTCTAGTTTAACTATTTGTATTGAAGAATTCGATTCCAGATCCAGAATTCCACTATCGTTTTCTCATATCATAGGGTCTGTTCAAAACAAGGCTTCGTAACTGTATAGGATTGGTATCTGTCAATTTGTCACAACTTTCTAACTAGGATTCTAGAGATCATTCAACTCAATGGTTCTCAAGATTTTAATAGACGTCGCTCAAAATAAAAATTTCTGATAATTTTGTTGTAGTTTTCGTGTACATTCTTGAATATATAGAAGGAATTTCATTAATTGGAAAAATCATTTTTTGTTGGTTGTGGGGAAAAATCTTAAGCCAAAGCGAACTTTCAATACAGTCCTATTTCAAGTTACCTTTTATATTTTTAGTGTGTAATTATTAAATACTTAAACTGTTATATTGTTGTGTTGCCCTACTTGTAGGCCTTCGCTTGATGCATGGACTAATGTTATGTATTTTACTTCGCCTATGTTATTGTCAATTTATTAAGGACCTATCATTCAGTTCTCTTTCACTTATGGAGCAGTTATGGCCATATTGTAGTTTCTTAATTCTGTTGATGTGCATTCAGGATTTTGTTCCATATATATTACTGTATTAGTGATTCATGAGGTCCAACTGTGTAATGAGCTATCTGCTTGCTAAATTTTGGTCGGTTCTACCTGTCGAGTGAGTGAGTGAGCGTGGAAAACTGCATTTTGAACCAATGGTCATCTAGTTTTACTATCTGCTGTCATCTCACATTTATCTTGTCATTGGTGCTAAATGAACAGTCTAGGCAAACAATCGACACTAGGACTAGATCAATATAATTGATCTCCTGTCTTACGGTTCAATTCCATGGGTCCCAAATAAAGTTAACAAGAGAATCTGTTTATTCTCACCGACACTAACTTTAAATGGATTGTATCGTTACTTATGAATTGTACAACCCTTCTATTTCTCTATATCACTTGTCATTTTTATTTGTAAAACATTTAATTTTATGTGATAGCTAGAAGTAATCGATAGCACAATGTGGATCTGGGTTTTGTGCTAGTTGACATATGTCAGCAGAATTTACCCTGTGATATCCAGGGGCTCGATGTACCCCGGTGGATTCGATCTCGTGTCATCCAGCTTCTTATTCAGACACGTCACTGAGCTATTTGTGTAGCAACTAGTTTCTTGTAGGATTTAGATGTATCTACGATTGGACCCCTGTGATACGGCGTCGAATTCACCAAGAGGTATCAATTCTCTCAAGATTAATGAAACGTCTGGATGACGAGTGCCAAAAAGCGCGAAATCTTTTTCTAAGGTATCCTAGCAACTACTTCCGAATGCCACTTTACATCCTAACATAGTGCACGTGATGTTGAGTCAATTAGAGTAGTGGCCGCATTGCTACCTGATCCATAGGACTTTATCAACACTAAATAGGACTTGACGTGCATGACATCGGTCGCTACTCAATGACGGATCAGCTGTATAAACATCGTTTAACTACCTGTTGTATCAGGATTTATATGTTATGAGTAAGTAAATATTACAATGGTTGAAATCATGAGTCAATTGAAGATAGACCACCATGGAAAACCCGGAAGCACTGGACGGCCGTTTCGTCCTATTATGGGATTCCTCATCAGTGTGCCCCCACGATCCCGCCCCTCAAGATCCGAACCCAGAACCCATCAGTCTCGCGCTTAACCATTAGACCACTGAGCCGGCCGGCAGCCAACGCTGTTAATATCTAATTTCAACCAATCCACGAAACTGAGCGACATATCCAGTACTTCCAGGTTTTCCATGGTGGTCTAGCATCAATTGACTCATGATTTCAACTATTGAAATTACTAAAATCTCCACAAAACCCCGTCTGAAATATAACCCGGAAAAACCTCTTTTTGTAAATTGATTATCTGTTAAAAATAATAAAACATCACATTTATGGTACAAATCAAAATCTCCAGAAATACAATACCACTTTAGCAACAGTGAGAAAAAAAAGATAAGTTGAACAATATACAGACATCTTGAGTTATTCAATAAGCTATTGAAAGTAACCAAAGATAATTTCTCAAGTGATATACTCATTTTCCAGGCTAGTCACTCCATTATTATCTGCGTTAGTTTGTTAAGGTCACAATATACATACATTGCTTAATGTTTGACTCAATCAGCTATTCAAATGTGAAAAACGAAATTAAGAATGGTTCTTAAGAAGCTTTATGCCCAAAATTGAATGATCATGTATACAAATTATGCGTAAAGATTCACACGATACATAATTGGTCCAGATGAAAGCACATAGACTGACAGGTCCTGGGTTCGAATCTCGTGAGGCGGGATCGTGGGCGCGCACTGCTTAGGAGTCCCGCATAGGACGAACCTGAGCGACATATCCAGTACTTCCAGGTTTTCCATGATGGTCCAGCTTCAATTGACTTATGATGTCAACTATTGGGATTACTATAATATCCACAAAACCCCTTCTGACATAGAGATTGGCCATGATTGGATGAACAAATTACCAACAATATACCAGTCACGTCTGGATTTTATCGAGCACATGTCTAGTAATTTGGTAAACAAATTGATAACTTCAATAGTTGAAATCATGGGTCAATTGAAGCCAGACCACCATGATCTCAACTATTGAAATTACTATAATATTCACAAAGAACTTCTGATATTAAATTTATAACTGTTAAAATAAAAATAAAACGACAAATATGCAGTGATACAAAGTGTGAATGAGGGATGGCTCGTCACCTAAGCACTCGACTGATTTGCAATCAAAAGCAACATCAATCACTAAGCAGGAAACTAGGTTATTCTATGTAGTAAAATAAATCATCTATGAAATATTAACGCAAAAAATGATATAGTAGAGTATCATTGGTGATTAGATATAATCCAGTTGATAGGCCAATCAATCGTCAAACAGTTATCTCAGTAATACTTGTAACGCCTTGGAGTTCGAGTCATTGGAATCTCATTCAATCAACTATTTATCCCATAATAGACAGTATAAAGGATATAGCTGATTTTCCAGTTAAAATCATCGGGATTATCTAGTGTATTATTAAATTTATCAATGGAAATATCAAATCTAAATACTATCCTATCGGTGAATAGTATCAACAGTTTTGGTTTAGATCGAACCAAAGAATTGACAATACTTGATTACCCATTTGTGATCAAATCTCTTCTTCACTTGATGACCGTTATTTGACATCATAAACATGCATATCCAGATTTCACCAACTAATATCAAAGTTCAGACATGGAAAACAGATAACAGTCACTGAAATCAACACAGTATCAAACTCAGAAAACTTCCCATGTATTCTGATTGGTTAATAACAAAATCTTACGATGTCATTTTTATAGTTGGCTATGATCGTAGTATAGTATAATTTTATAGGATCCAACATGTAGTATTCATGAAAATCGCATGTGTATCAAGTTAAATTTGCTGAACGAAAGTATCAATTCTTGATAATAATAATAATGTGAGATATAACATTTTGGAATAATAGACGCCACATCATTTATTATAGGAAATACATTTAACAGGTTCAATCTCAAAACTGTTTATAGTTTGCTTTATTGAATGTATCTGAAGCGATAATGTTTAGAATTAGACGAATATGTTTTAATTTGTGGTATTTTTATGAACATTTTACATAAATACTTCTTTGGTCGTTTTCTTTTTTACCAAACAATAAATAGTATTTATAAATGCCAAAATCGAATTGAACGATTGTTATGTATCGTCTGGTACGGCCGAGAGTGGGAAGAGTCAGCTCTCCCTCTTGAAATGTTCTCATATGGCCACGTGCATACAACCACTGTCATGGAAGTTCTACTCACTGCCTTCTCGCGGCACCGGTGTTATTTATTAAACTGAGAGGACGAAAAGCCAATGTCCCACGCTTTAACTGGGTTGGTAAACACGGAGAGTCCACCTAGGGGAATTGGAAATCCCTGATTCCAAACCATTGGTGCACATTAACTCTAGAATCCTGAGGTAACAAATGGCGTATGAATCAATTATTGGTGACCGGCTACCATGAGATTGTATCTCCTCACGATGCTCCACTGCCTTGTGCATCAGACCTTCAGGTCGAAGGCTCCGGGTGTGGCCTCCTAAGAAAACCATCTGCTTCGGTTTGGGTACCCGGGTAGTATCACAGCCCTTACACAAATCGAATGATTTGTGTGGCGCATATGTATCTGGTGCCTCCTTGTACCAATCTTTATGTGTTTAAATAAATAAATATTGTCTAGTACTGAATGATTGTTCTACTCATCCTGACCATTTTAATGAATATCGGAATATGAAAGTGTATTGCCTTTTTGCTGTAGTGTGAAAACAACTCGTCTTACTTTTAAAATAAATCAGTTTTTATGTTTGGATTCTTTGATTAGAGATTGACTGGGCATGATATTGAATAAGATTGAACTCGGAGGATAGAATTTAATGATTCGATGTCACATGTTAGACATATTTATTTCGATGTAAACACTTTTATTTTTTCCGAGGAACTAAGAAGAGAGGTTTGGTATGATAAAGGTCAATTGTATATCTATACTATCTAGCGCATTTAAAATGCTACCAAAACAACCACTAAACGAAACTGATATTTGTTTGAAACTCAATAAAATAGCATCTCGGGAAATTGATTGATAATAATCTGAAGCTGTATGCCATGTCATAATTCACAAATCGTATCACATTTTGTCAGATTATTAACAGTACTAATTGAGGTAAAATAAGAGTTTTGTTGTCGTGGATTGTTTTTTATTTTTATAAGATAGTAGAGATTTATCGCACTAAAGAAGGTTTATGAACTAGCTTATTCAACTCCTTAATTTAGTCTTCATTATTCATTGATACTGTAGTGTGCACATCTTTCATGAGAAATTATTTCTCTTCTAATACTAAGCTTCTTTACAGTTCTATGTTCTTTTGTGATTAGCCGAATGAAGTCCTTTTTCCATAAAGTCACATGTACCATTATGTAAATTATTTTTTGTGTAGTTCTCTCAGAGTCGCAACGCCGAAAGCTTCGAAAATATCTAAGATCAAATATTTATGACTACGATGAATAGACGTAAAAAACTAAGTAAATTAATACATGATACATGACTGTGCTTATATGCCATCTCAGGGTCGAACAGTAGTTGAGAGATGCTTAATAAAGCACACTATCGGATAAAGCTAATTACGGCGTTTATTCATTTCAGTCTCCTTAATCTCGTAGCAAGTAAGAATAATGTATAGGAAACATGTGTATCTGTATATGAACCAGGCGATTGTGAAATATAGAACGACGTTTGCATTTTTCACAGTATTCTTTTTTATAACTGGTAACTATAAATCAATTAAGAACTGATTACAGATTACCAAATTGTAGTTGTAACTGGGTATTTTGTTGGGGTTTTTTTGTGGAAAAACTTTAGGACATTTTTTTACATTAAGTTATTCCAGTTGATTAGCTTTCAATCGATTATATCTTCTCCATTCCATTTGCCATTGTCGAAGTTCACAAACTTCTGGGATTTTTCTTACCTATAAGTACAAGAATGAAGTATTTATTCATAAAATGAAATGTGGTTAGAAATAGAACTTTTTTTCGTATAAACTCAGATGATTTTAAAAATAATTAAAATCATTGAGTAGTTCAATCAGTTCGTTATAAGCAATATACAACCTGATACATGTATGCATCGAATCAAGTTACCATGTCTTATCAGTACAATAATTTTATTTTAACACATAGATATTGGTACAAGAAGGCACCAGATACATATGTGCCACACAAATCATTCGATTTGTGTAAGGGCTGTGATACTACCCGGGTACCCAAACCGAAGCAGATGGTTTTCTTAGGAGGCCACACCCGGTGCCTTCGACCTGAAGGTCTGATCCACAAGGCAGTGGAGCATCGTGAGGAGATACAGTCCCATGGTAGCCGGTGACCAATAATTGATTCATACGCCATTTGTTACCTCAGGGTTCTGGAGTCCATGTGCACCATTGGTTTGGAGTCCAGTTAAAGCACTGGACATTCGCTTTTCGTCCTTTCATTTTCGTAAACAACACCGGTGCAGCGAGAAGGCAGTGAGTAGGACTTCCCTAGCAGAGGCTACATACGTGTGGCCATGTGAGAGCATTTCAATAGGGAGAGCGGACTCTCTCCACTCTCGGCCGTACCAGGGCATTTGGGGGCTAAGTTGAAGATATCAATAGAACTACTACAGTAATCAGTAATGACAGTATAAACTGTAATGGAAAAAATTTGGCATAAACTTTATGATTTGAGACGTAAGAATGATTTGATGGTATAAAATCTTCGATCATTTTGGACTCAAGACTTAAGAGAAGACGAACATTCAATACATTTGAGTCACTATGAGGAATGTCAATCAACGTCTTCCTAGAATCCCTCCGATTTACTCAAACACAAGCTTATATTACAAGTCAATGTATGTGGTGATTGTATATACTCAATAAATGTCTCAGAAACCTGAGTCAATAATGATACATAGTTATATCAACTATCTTGTCTAACCTCAGCACATATAGTAAAATATGTAGTCTGAAAATCATAGGTTTGTACATTTACTCGTCATGTACAAATGGTTCCGAGTTAGTTATACTGTAGTGAACGAGAACACAAGCTGGGTCAATCAAATATATTTGAACACAATATTATCGAACAACTTAGTGAAATCTGAGAATCATACGGCAAATACTTCATTTGCAAAATGTCGATCAATCATCTCAGACTGTGTATTCACATGAGATATTTCAAACTAGAAGAAACTACTTCAAATATACATTAGTACTCTATGAATCCTACGGTTCTCCTTCAATTGTTACCAATTCGTATTAACTGCTATCTATGTGCCAAATAATTATTGCAATCCTATTAATTACTTAATCTTTAGTTTTCGTTGACCATCAGTATTAACGATTATTTGTACTAATAACTGTGTTTCTCCAATCAGAATAGTGTTGATAAAAAGCAAGTGGACATATAGGATTTCTCATTTGAAATCAGTTAAGAAATTCTATAAGATGAAGAGATAAACCTTAAAGTGGTAGTATAACGGAACAACTATACTGAGTAACATTTTGTTTATGTCAAACATTGATTTGATGGTTGGATTAGTTCACCAATAAGTCACATATGTTTAAACCCCAGTCTGACTACATCGTTTTAAGTAGACAGTTAGTATCTCTGGCCGCCATACAAACTATAATTAAATATTACTCACTTACTAAGTCTACATTTATGTTTTCAAAGTTCAGCCACACTTTTTCAAACCAACATAAGTGGAGCGAGATTCAAATGTCACTTATTATTAATCGAATATACACATATAAACCGGTCACTAAAAAAATCGATTTGGCGAGACTATAATTAATGGATGAATCAATCAGATTAAGGGTAATAGGTCTTGAACTTTGGCGTAAAATTCATTCATCCATTTGGTTATATAGCATTTTGATATTTTAACTGATATCAGTTCGTGATAAAAAAACCTTAAATCTAATTCTTAACTCTAACCATCAACTATAAACCATAATTCTAATTCCTCACATTGGTTTATAGTCCTCATTTAGCCCTAGCGAGCAGATAAACATCCTCAAGGTTACTATAGCGTAGCTCAAAACTCGTCCATAAATTATAATCTTACCATTGATTTAAGGTATAAAAAAAACTTTCTTTGATGGAGATTTGTTCTCTGAGCTGGGTGGTTTGGTCATGAAGCTTTCATCGTTCTTTTGAACAACATCTTCAGCACAAAATTCAGGTGACGATGGTGTCATTCAAAAGAACGATGAAAGCTCCCCTACCAAACCATCCAGCTCAGAAAACAATACTTCATCAAAATCATCCACCTGAGCTACAAATCTTCTCCACCATCTCAAAAACTTTTTTTAAAATGTCATCATCAGGTATCTATGACAAAAGAACTAATATTTTAATTCATTCACTAGAATGGTTACTATTCCCATTGATGACACGTGACGATGATAGAAGTTTAAACCAATGACTGAACCCTTCCATCTCAAGGTCACAAAATATAAATTCAGGCGGGATTATAATTTACGGATAAGCCAATCAGATTTAAGATAACAAATGTTGGATTTTGGCGCGTGATTCATTCATCCATTTGTTCTAAATATCACTTTAGCATTATAGTTGATGTCAGTTCTTGATGAAAACATTGAATCTCATTTCTAACCTTATCGTTCAATTGTAAATCTTAATCTTAATTCTTCACACTAATATCTAACTCTCATCTAACCATAGTCGGTACGGTGGACATTTCAAAGTTATTTTAGTATTGCTAAAAGGTCGTGCATAAATTATGATCTCACCAAAATTTATAGGACCATTTTTTAATGAAGGTCAAACTGATAAATTCAAATTTTGTTTATGTTAGAATAAATAAATAATGTATGAGAAATCAACAGATAGTAAGTCAGTCAGTCAGCTACAACCTAGGACCAGGCACATATATGGATTGATCCAAGTTACCATACCTCATTAACACAACAAGATGAACATCAAATTCATAGAGGTAGTCACTTCAATATATAATACAGGAAGAACGAAAGGTATCAAGTAATTTTAATCCCAACCAAGTGGTCTGCATCTACCAATATGGCTTAGACTAGAAGTGAGTGACTTCAAGGAACGATGCTAAGTTTGGGTTTCGCTGGGCCTAACTTTCTTCCAACCATCTTCAATACTAGTGAGCAACCAACAGATAGTACTTTATATTGATTCGAAAATATCGTTTATACGAATTTATTTTGTTAGAATAAACACAAAAACGTAAATTCAGTCTTTAAAGTCTAAGCTATGAATTGTATTTTTTTTCCATTTTTCATTCTTACAAAACTATCTAAATCTGTTATTTAATATAATATACCCTTGTGGGCGAGGGTAATTTTACATTGGTTTTCAGGAGAACCAGACATCATCCAGGTTTAAATGTTATAACCCGAGCAATACAGCTCAATCCCTCTCCACAGGAGAACCAGACACCATATAGGCTTTAACGCTACAACCTGAATAGTACAGCTCAATCCTATAGCGCAACCACATAAGCAACAAGCACCCTGGTGGAACAAATCTGTGGGTTTTTTTTATAATTATCGCAGATTAAATGAACAGAGCCCAACAAAATCCAGAGCAACATTTCAACGTGATAATATGTTAAAGATTTGAAGGAAATGAAATAATGAATACATTAGTTGTTTTGAAATTTAATGTTTCCAACCATAAAGTTTCTATTGTATTGTGGAGTCAAGTGAAAATCCTCCAGTCAGATCTTTCTACTGGTACGCATATTTTGAATCATTATCAAGCAATTTCATACATGTTCATGATATCGGGAAATTGTTACTCATTAATTAAATTTCTATTCTGCTAAATGTGTAATGAACGAACGTTCAGTTGTGAAAGACCAATTTATTGTTTGTTGTCAAATTACACAATGGTTTAGCAAAATGTGAAAATTATATATCATTTGCATATTCTCTTATAAGTTTCATTGCTCTTTCATTTCTGTTTTTATTATGATTGTTTTCAGTTTCTGTTATATCCTAGCGAAGATTAACTTACCAGTAACTTCTGAAACCTATTAATCGACTAATATTATCTATATATTGTTATTGTATAACCATTCAATAACTAGACTGTGTATATCCATATTCCTCTTATTATAAGATTCATTTTGACCTATAGGTTATTATTGTACGATTTACTGTTCTCAAGTTATACCCAGTTTTTATTACCGTCTCCCTTGTTCACAGCTACATTTTGGCTTTATTTTGTATAAATTGTATTTCCTATTTTATGGTGTGATGCAGCCTGTTTGGCTTGTATATAAACCAAGTATGTCTGTGGTATAGTGGAAGCTGTTATTGTTGTTGTGGTCTCAACTGGGCAGATTAGGCGAGAAAAGGACCAATAGGACTGTAGGCTGATCAGACCACTCGGAAGTCATTGGTTTAGTACAGTACAAGAGTGAATAAGTCATATTTCGATTGGCGAATAAATTACGTGATAACTAGCTGGACTTAAAGTCACAACGGTTTCCTTCCCTATTCTGTTCATTTCAATATTCTGAACCTTATGCTAACAGACATTTCACATTTGAAAGGTGTTGCATACTATTTATATCTGCAAATATGAGTAGCATACACTACAAATGAGTCAGTTTAATTCAATTTTTCCCACATTTTAGTAGTATTATAGTAGAATGTGAAATCAAAGTGATAAGATATAACTAAATTGATTTCAATACTATTTGATTACAGGTATCACTGGGCCTAAGTTTCATGGTAATTCGATTTCATCAGTAAGACACATCTGAAGTATTATTTAAAAAAACCTTGATCGACAGACTTTCATCAATACTAAGGCCTGGATAACAATACAAATAGTTACTAATTATCAACAACTTAGTATAAAGTGAGTATTAGTTTAAATAAAGTAATGGCGATTAATAAATCTAAAATCTTCCTGCTACCAATTCGAAATATTGGCCTCTGTTTAGTTTTAATTTAACGTAATCTATATGAATTTCAAGAGTTGAGATCATGAGTCGATTGAAGCTAGACTACCATGCAAAACCCGAAAGTACTGGACTGCCTTTTCGTTCTATTGTGAGATTCCTCAACATTGCGTACAATAGGACGAAACGGTTGTCCAGTGTTTCCAGGTTTTCCATGGTGATCTAGCTTCAGTTGACTCATGTTCTCAACTATTGAAATTACTATAATATCCACTAAACCCCCTTCTGATACTAATCTATATGAGTTTATTCACTTAAATTTGAAGTATACTCAACTGTGAAGGCTAGCGATACCATTCCAGTTACTAAGACTGTCATAGATAAAGCAGAGTACAAACCTATGATTTATCTGTTAAAAGTTGTGTACTTTAACCATTACGTCATTGAATCATGAGCATTTATTTGTATAATATATTTGAAAATGATTTTCATGAGATCTGAACTCTCATAAAATAACCATTTATAGGTGATCTGTGAATATAAGCAATATAAAAGTGTCTACACAATAAACCTATATCATCAATAAAGAGTAACTAAGAAAGTTCTGTAAAAAATTAGCAAGAGAATCACAGGAGACAAATGATAATTAATATAACGCTATAATCTAGTGATAGAAACTGTAGTTATTTTTAAAGTGGTTGATGTTAGTAGAATCAAGCATTTTGACAAAACAACATTAACATTAACACCATTGGATGCCGGTTCAGTGGTCTAGTGGTTAAGTGCTCGCGTGCGAAAACAGTAGGTCCTGGGTTCAAACCTCGTGGTGGCGAGGTTGTGGATGTGCACTGCTGAGGAGTCCCACAATAAGGCGAAACGGCTATCCAGTGCTTACAGGTCTCCCATGGAGGTTCAGCTTCAACTGACTCATGATCTTAACCATTGAAGACAATATTTACTATTTATTCCACCCGGAATGATATGACTTTCATATGTGCTTATTATTAAACAAAAAAGTAATTTTTACTTATCATATTATAGATCGAATATTCAAACAATAAACTAGGCTTAATGTGTAATTCTGCCTTTATATGACGTTCTTTTCCCTGTATAATAGATATTTCAAGGTCGATCTTGATTGTGTCGCGTCAGGAGAAACAGATTTCTCCAGTAGGGTTCGTTGTGATCAGCCCGTTATGTTTATCTATTCGTTCACCTATATTGTGTGTAGGATCGATGACTTTCTAAATAGCGATGGAGACATTCAACAGTAAATAATAGCCAAGACCTTAACACTTACTGATCCTTGAACTCCTTTCAACCTAGTAACCAATTAGATGATTGTAAAAAGCAGATCAATTCTCTATTGTACTTAATTCAATTTTAACACAAAAACTCATACAATTATATGCGTAAAATATCTGACCACATAGCAACACAATTAAGAAATCATGATATGTACATAACTCAGTCATAAATGATACAAAACCAGAGTGATGCTGGAATAATTAATCAGTAATAAATCTGGGACGATAAAACATGTGACAACGTTTTGTAGGTCAAATGAAAGTTTAGAAATAGGCGGATGTTAAAAAAAAACAGATCAGCCTAAGCATTTACTAATTATACAATAGTAATATTAATGATAATAATAATAATCCTTCATATGATAGTCTCACAAGTAATACTGTCACATTGTACAGACTGAATTAAATACGATATGATCTCTTTTTCTTTCAAGATCTTCCTAACTGTTGTAAATGAAATAAATGAAACTGGTATAGCCACTATATAGGGATTGATATAGTTTAATACAATAAAGAAGACAAGATTGCAAATGAAGATCATATTATGCCCTATAACAGTAAATAAGAGAAAAAACAGACCTAACTAGTGAACAATAACATACAGTAGACAAAACACTTTTAATTTCTTATATCTGGAGTTAATGTGCATCGAATGATGACAGTTCGTCAGCCATCATTTGAGATGGTTGACACACATATTACATATTCCCAACCACCGACTGCCCCGACGAGGGATGTTTTATGATTTAGGAGTAGGTTGGAAGAAAGCTAGAGGCGGACACACAAAAACATGGCATAAATCCATGAAGTCACTGACAAGTGGACTGAGTCTTGTTGGTAGGTGTAGACTACCTGGTTGGCATCTGCGAGATGATAGTAACCGATAGTTAGAGACCTTGAATGACATGGTTCAAAATCGTTTACAATGGTGCAGATGCATCCACTCTTTGTGTTCTCCCAAATTCTAATCTTCTGAATTCTTCATATCCATTTCTTGTCTTTCTCCTTCCAGATTTATTTCACTCGATTATACTCCTTGAATAACATGTTCAAAGCCTAATGTTTCCGATTACTGCTTATACTTTTACTACCTCTACCGTTATGGGATTTGAATCGACAATTGTATCTGTGTGTTGATGTGGTATGGCAACTTGAACTGATGTACGTACGTACGAATTTCTACGTTGTTGCTGAATAACCAACTGAGCTAGAATGACACAGGTACTCAATGCTACATAATTTCTATTAGCTGTTTATCGATGGTTCAATTGTAAACATAATAAAGATTGAAATTTGCTAACATATGAACACATTTTTAATCATGTTATTGATTTGAAATCGGTGAACATGAAGTATACGAACGACCTTGACCTACTTTTTAGCCGAACCGACAACAGCTTTCAACTATGAAACATTTTAGGATGAAATTATAATAGATGAACAGATTGAACATGAATGATAAACTTTTGTATGTGATCTATTATTATCGTTATTTTCATTACATTAGTTATCATAGAAGGAAGGCTTTTGTGGTAAAAGTATAATTTAGGAACAAATCAATCATAATCGAGAATAAGACTTTTAGATCTTTATGCGAAATTGAAGCATCGTGTAAAAGGAGCAGTAGAAATACAATAAAAGTATACTATATAGACGATCTTAGACGACTTATCAGTCAGTCAGGAATCAGTACCTAGTTATGAAACAACTAACAATACAAAGCAATGAAATAACAGTGGAATAATAGGTTTGATCTGAATAATTAACCGTCACAAGACAAATCATTCACTGTGATAAAAAAGGCGGCACGATCATACATATATCTATATATTAGGAGACGTGCTAGTGTTGTGAGTTGAGTTTATAATCCCACAAGACTTTCATGACCAACTGATATCATTTGTGATATCTAAAGGTTAGAGTTAGGTATTAAGAGTTAATCTGCATCAGTAGGCCTCAGTATACAAAAAGGATGAAGTAAGATCTTCAAATACGACAAGGAGAACACCAACTCAGTCACACTTGATGGAGAAACTCTGGAAGATGTGGAATCTTTCATGTACCTGGGAAGCATCATTGATAAACAAGGAGGATCGAATGCGGACGTAAATGTGAGGATTGGCAAAGCAAGGACAGCATTCCTACAATTGAAGAACATGTAAAACTCAAAACAACTGTCAACCAATATCAAAGTCAGAATCTTTAATATGAACGTCAAGACAGTTCTATTGTATAGGACTGAATCTTCTAGAACTACTACAACCATCATAAAGAAGGTACAAGTATTTATAAACATTTTTCTACGCAAGATACTCAATATCCGTTGACCTGATACCATCAGCAACAGCCTGCAGTGAGAGAGAATAAACTGACTTCCAGATGGAGAGGAAATAAGGAAAATATGTTGGAAGTGGACAGGACATACATTGAGGAAATCACTAAAGTGAATCTCGAGGCAAGCGCTAACTTGAAATCCTGAATGGAAACGGAAAACAGGAAGGCTGAAAAACACACTGCGTCGAGAAGTGGAAGCAGATATGAAAAAAAGCAACTGGAAAGGATTCCTCAGAACAGAGTTGGATAGAGAATGCTGGTGAGTGACCTATATTCCTCCAAGAGGAGTAACAGGCTTAAGTAAGTAAGTAATTAAGAGTTAAACTAGAATTTTGAATTAGGGTCAGGGTTAATGCTAAATATATTTTGTTATATCCCAATGAGTAGAAAAATTGTATTTCTGACGTTTCGTGACTTAATGTAAGCCACTTCTTCAGAGTAAATAAATAACCAACATTAAATTAACACGCCAGTCAATGGTTAAATACGTTAGATAAAAATAATTTTAGAAGAAGTGTATGTGGCTCAGATACTGACGTGTTAGAATCAAAAGAGTAAAATTTGGTTAGTACGAAAATTAACCAGTAAGATATTACAAATATTTATTCACGTATTAACTTACAGATTAATTAAGATTGAATATTATCGTATAAATTATACAAATCTAACTATTGATCTAACTGTAATTCAGTCACTTATTTCCGAAGTCAAATAAGTCCATATCATCAGATTTTGTGTTCTCACTACACCTTGTCAGGTTTGAGTCCTTCAGTAACAAACATAAATTAGTTAAACATTCCTCAGATAGATGACATTGACAGACATAACAGATACATTCACTCTTTGTTTCGCTCTAAACCTTGGTTTCTCCGTTCATATCTTTCCACTCCTCTTTTAGCTAACATAGAATAGATGAAATATGGCTAGTATTGGAACCCAAGGATAATGTTCTGTCCTATCTATGACTCGTCAACTGGATGTATTTGCACCCCAGAGTTGATGTGAACTCCAAGACTCAAATTCAATACCATTCAATTTAAGGGTCAATAACGGAATTCAAGACATATGTTTCATACAATTTATAATTCATCAGCTGGATATCTTAAATAGTTGAATTCATGAGTCAACTGAAGCCAGACAACCATAGAAAACCTGGAAGCACTGGACGGCCGTTTCGTCCTGCTATAGGACTCCTCAGCAGCGCGCATCCACGATCCTGCCTCCTTCGGCGAGATTTGGAACCAGGACTGATCAGTTTCGCGCGCGAGTGCTTAACCATTAAACCACTGAACCGGCCGGCATCCGACGGTGTCAATATCTAACTTCAATCTCTTCTGATAATTATTTAAAAAAGTTACTCACCAGATAACCTCTCCAATATGATTGTAATTTAATTGCTGCTTCTTCATCTGTCCATTGTAAACTAAGTGGTAATGGTTTACGTGGATGTTTTTCCAATTCTTCAATAACCCATGGTATATTTAATATGTGTTGTACATTTTTACGATCATAATCTTCTTTCATGTATAGATTATTTTTATATAAATAAAATGTCAAAAAATCCAATCCATTGAATCCGAAACGTTTTTTCTTGAAGTTTTCAAAATAAAGTAATACAATTATGTGTTTAAATGAGATATTCAGGGGGAAAAAACAAAGCAAATTAAAATTCTTTTCAGACAGAATACATAAACAATCGTACAAGGAGGCACCAAATAGATATGCGCCACATAAATCATTCGATTTGTGTGAGGGCTGGAATATTACACGGGTGCCCATATCGAAGCAGGTGGTTTTGTTAAGAGGCCACACCCGGAGCCTTCGATCTAAAGATCTAATTCAAAAGGCAGTGGGACAACGTGAGGAGAGGCAGTCCCATGATAGCCGGTTACTAATAATTGATTCATACGCCATTTGTTCCTTCAGGATACTGGAACCTATGTGCACCATTGGTTTGGAATCAGGGTTTTACAACTTTCTTAAATAGATCCTCTATATCCACCAACCCGGTTGAGGCGCCGGACATTCGCTTCTCGTCCTCTCATTTTCGTAAACAACAGACCCGCCATGAGAAGTCAGTGAGTAGGACTTGCCTGGCAGTGGCTTTATACACGTGGCTGTGTGAGAGCATTCCGAGAGGGAGAGCTGACTCTCCGCACTTTCAGCCGTACCAGGTCATTCGGGGGGCATTGAAAAAAACAACTTCCGTTAATGAAGAAAATTAATTATTTCCATAAATCAGTCAATTTTTATAGGGTTCAATGTTTCATCTAAACTTATGAAGATATTTTCAGTAAATAAATGGAATTCATACAACTACAAATAAGTATTAAATTCACTTGGTATTGTTTGATTTGTATCTTCCCATTGAGGTTTAAGACTACAATTGATCAGTCTGTTATTGGCATATGTGCATACTGTGCGCATGCCTCGATATTGTCCCAGAGTGGACATTAACTCTGAGATGCAAATACATCCAGCTGACGAGTCCCAAAGAGGACGAAACGCACGTCCTGGATTCCACTCCTAGCCACTATCCATCATTGCTTACAAAAATACACATAAATATTAGTTTTCATTTTTGGACAATTCGTCATTTTGTGATATTCTATGATCAATTCTCCATTACCAAATAGTAACAACCATCTTATAACCATTCACTATTAATCAAGTGATGAATATTAAAATGATAAATTCCTAAAGTTTGTTTCATAATAATTGACCATTATCGCTAGTTTATTGAAGTTGGATATGTATGTCATTAGATATGACCATAATAGTATAATGATAACAAAAAAATTACACCATCAACATTCACTGTTCTACGTTGAATTCCATATGGATAGTGATTGTATTTGTGAAGTGATAAGAAATTCTTAAATTTAAACAAGACAATTGTTTACTTCTTACTAGTTCTTAACAATTGTCTTGTTAAAGTAAATCTCTTTGATGATATCATCAATTATCTTTCTTTATTTAACTTGAACAAGTTCTACAAACTTTTCATTTTAACTTATCATTTCATGTTGAAACTTATGCATTATTCAAATTGCTTGGAACATTTAATTTAGGCAATTCTTCAAACAGATACACTTATTGTATTAATTTTAGATTTTTTATTCTATACAACACATTAAACGATGTCTGTGTTGCGTAGAGACAATTATCCACTTCAAACAATGAGTGAATGGTTGTACAAAATCTTGGATGGATTAAAGTTAATACCGTTGGATACCAGACCAGTGGTTTATTAGTTAAGCATTCATGTGCGCAAAACTGAAGGTCATTGTTATGACTTTAAGTTGAGTCGGGTTTTACCCTGTGCTAATTGTTGTGTCCTTGACTGGAAAATTAGAGAGCAGCGTACTTATCGATCGATTACAGTGACACGTAAAACACGTACGGACGGCCTAGAGTCTCGATTGGTCCCACTTCCCTATCTAGCCCAGTCAGTTGAGTCCAGAACACAAGTCACAACCTCTGAGATATGAATCATTGTATTTCAGACATACTCTATTTAAATACTAACCAAACATACCATATCGTACCATAAAAATAGAAAACAACATTTGTACAATATTTAACGGATGAAATAAATAATGGCCAATAGGAAATGTCCATTTAACGTCCAAGGACATCACTAGGCTTAACATGATAATGATTGGCACATTATTCTGCATCCATAACAGTCATGATTTCGAGTCCCACATACAGGATCGTTAATATTGCACTGTTGAGGAGTCTCATACTAAGACGAAACAATCATCCAGTACTTGTAGATTATCAATGGTGGTCTATCTTAAATAGATTCATGAATTCAACTATTAAAGTATCTGAAAATGTTAGTCATTTCATATATATATTCTTTCTTGCTCAATAAATAAAATAGATAATCAATAATTTGAAGGTCATTTTCCTTCTAAACCAATCATAATACACAATTCATGTTCATATAATTTATTATCTAATTTGATACAACTGACTTTCTATTTATAGATAAGATGATAAATGTTCAATGTAAATTTCTACTCATTTTGTTTGTTTTACGACAGAATTACTTCATGTGATCAAAGTCTATCCTTTCTATTTTATTTAATGTTACCAGATCTGCAAATGATAGAATCATATTATACACTAGTTGCAATCATGAGTTAATTGAAGCTAGAAAACTATGAAAAACCTGGAAGCACTGGACGGCCATTTCGTTCTATTATGGGACTCCTCAGTAGTGTGTACACACAATCCCACCTCACGAAATTCGAACCCAGGACGTATCAGTCTTGCGCGCGAGCGCTTAACCATTAGATAACTAAGCTGACCGGCATCCAACAGTGTTAATGTCTAACTTCAACTAATCTACGAAATTGTGCCAACGTACACCATTGTCTTCAGTGAGCTGATATCTTACAACAGACCTGATTGAACTCCACTAGTCACGGCTTCTCACTAGAACTCCAGGAGTATTTCTTGAAGTCAGTCACCAGTGAGTACATGATTATTACCAGGAAAAGTTTTGTGGAATTTCACTAGTGAAATTTCTAAAAACTTCACAGAAATCCTTCTGATGAGAATCATATTAATTATAGTTCACCTGTATTTACACACAAAAAAGAGTAGAATATACACGTAAGCTACTAGTATTTGATCACAGATGCCTTAGAAATATTACTCGCATCTGCTGGGATAATCGGTTAAGTAATAGTGAGGTTAGACGAAGGGTATTAGGGAATGATGGTAGATCAGTTGATGAGGTTGTGAGTTTTTATCGATTGAGATGGTTGGGCCACGTGTTGCGTGTGCCTGAACAACGATTACCACGACGTGCAATGCTGACTTGTGTTGGGGCATGGTTGGAAGAAAGTTAGGGGCGGTCAAATCAAAACGTGGCATCAGTGCTTGAAGTCACTAACTTCTAGTCTGAGCCATGTTGGCAGATGCAGACTACTTGATTGGGGTCCGCGTGACTATCGTAACCAATGGTTGGAGATTCATGGTGACGTGGCTCAGAATCGATCACAATGGCGTAGGTGTACGCACTCTCTGTCTTCCCTTAAACTAAGAGAATAAAATCGCTTCATATCTTCCTTTCTTCGAACTAATTGTTTCTTACTGTACTATATCCTTATTACAATCTTTCTTTTGTATATTACCACCCCTGAATTAACTACTTTTATGAATCCAGTGTTCATCTTGTTATGCTAATGAGGTATGGCAACTTGGACCGATGCCTGCTCACACGTTGTAACTGACGGACTGTTTTTACACATATATATGTATATACTACAATTCCCTTTTCCTCAAAGCAACACTTCAGTTAGTCAGTCAACGAATAAGTTATTCTATTTATTTGATATCTATTATTTTCCTTTTAGAATTTTAAAGATTCATATCGGTGATAATATTAACTATATTTAGATTTCATCTTTTAATAGGGAAACAATCAGTGGAAACTTCAGAATTAATTGTTATGTGAGTTATAAGAGTGAGACTACAATCTATGGACGAACTAATCAGATTTAAGATAACAGATCTTGGATTTTGTCGTGTAATTCATTCATTCATTTGGTTAAATACCATTTTGGCATTATAGTTCATGTCAGTTCATCATAAAAAACATTGAATCTAAATCTTAACCCTAATGTTCAACTGTAAATCCCAATCCTTATTCCCAACAGTAATATATAACCCTCATCTAAACCTAGTAGGTAGGTGGACATTTCAAGGTCATTTTAGCATTGCTCAAAGATCGTCCATAAATTATAGTACCACGGTTATAAAAAAAAATACTTTTTCCTGAATGTAAATACAAAGAACGTAATAAATGAACAATCATTCATCATAGTGTTTCCCCTTGAGAAATTTGTTGAATATAATTTAATTGAAAACAGATATAACTACAGATTTTACATTATCACTAACAGATTGATAAAAGTTGTTACCAAAGTAAAATCGATTTATGCTTATTTCTAATTGATCACAGTGATTAGTGTAATTATTATTAATTATTATTTGTATCTGTGCTTAATCAATAATTGAAACGTATATATTATTCATTGTTTCTATATATCAACTATTTCATAATATGAGGTAGGTTGTATTAATTTATTATTTATTATCATTTATAATAAAACATCATAAATCAGTAAGCCAAATCAATTGCTTATTCTATGTGTTATATCCTAACGAAGATTAAATAACGAGTAACTTCTGAGATCTATTAATGGATCAGTATTCTATATATATCTATCCTTTTGTATAACTATTCAGTAACTAGATTATGTATATCTATATTCTCCTTATTATAAGCTTTCATTTGACCTATAGATTATTATGATACGGTTTACTATTCTTAAGTTATGTTCAGTTTATTGATTACAGTCTCCCACGTTTACAGCCACTTTTTGGCTTGACCGTATACAAAAAATATTTCCTATTTTATGGTGCGTTGTGGTCTGTTTGGCTGGTATATAAACCAAATATGTCTGAAATAAATGATTCGCATAGTGAGAGATGTTATTGGTGTTGTGGACTCAACTGGACGGGCTAGGCGTGCAAAAGACCAATAAGGACGCTAGGCAGATCATACCGGT